GTCCATACCCTCTTGTAAGCCCATCTGTGTGGTCTGGAGCGTGTGGAGAAGGGCTGAGGTGGGCAAAGCGTGCTGAAGCCAGAGCCAGCAGCAGGAAAGGTAGTTAGGGACGAGGAGCCAGATTTCTGAACCCAGGACTCAGAATGTTCCCAGAAAAAGTAAGGAAAGGTGGAAGCCCAGGGCCCAGAGGCCAAGATGCCCTGGTTAGGATCCAAGGAGGATGGAGGTACCAGCAAGGCCGCAGGTCTCTGGTTGGAGCCTGCCTATGAGCTGTCCAGCCCTCTCTGGGTCGAAGGTCTCACTGCTCTGCACCAGGCCATGCTCACACGTCTACTTCATGGAGCAAACCTAGGAATCTTCTCTTTGCTAGAGCCCGCAGGGCGGCTAGGCAGGGAGCTGGGGCCTGGGGGAGGGGGCTTGCTATGAATACCTGCAGGCAATTATCCCACAAATGTCTCCAGCCCCACAACTGCTAATAGAACCCAGGAACCCCCCCCACCCCCGATTCCTCCAAGCCTGAAAATTCAGCTGCAAGCCAACCTCAGCACAGCCCAGGGAAGGTCTGAGACAAGGTCAAGACCTTGCTCAGGCGGGCAGCTTTCCAGCTGCCCTGTGTCCCGGCTGCACACTGGGGCCTCCTCCTTTTCTTTGAACTGAATCCCCAGACTATCAGACACACCCACATCCATTCAAAACTGCATTCCAGAACTAACCCAAATGATTTTAAGAAACGATCTGAGCCAGTCAACAGGCAGCCCAAGTCCTCTCTGAGACCTGACCCTTTCAATCAATGTGGCTCCGTGCATCCCGACGTGAATCCCAGGGGCACCCCTCTCCTGGGCCAGGCCGGCCCCTACCTTCACCGATGGGGGCTGACTGCCCCCTGGTGGCCACAATCCAGGACAGCTGCAAAGCCAGTCTCCCTCCAGGCCACCTTTGAACCAAGGTCCTGGCTGTTTTCAGAACCCACGTTTCTCAGCTCTGGTTTCTACTACAGAGCAGTGATTCCTTAACCTCTGTGCAGGGCCCCTGTGGGGTGGACAGCCGCAGCACCTTGGCTGGACGTTTTCAAACAAGAGGGCCAAAAAAGGCCAAGAATTTTCAATCAATCCTTAAGTCAATCAATTGGGGATCAAAAAAATAATAAATAGATATCCCTAAGTACCTTACTGGGAGCCAGGCCCTGGGGGTGGGTCAAAAAATAAACATCCCAGCTGGGAGATGCTGACAGAATCTTAAGACGTGGAGCCAAGAGGGCCACTGGGGACCACCTAGTTTAGTACCACCCCCCACCTCCTTTAACAGCAGGGGAAATCAAGGCCCAGAGAAATGGGTGCGCCCAAGGTCACAAGTTAGTGGCACTCAGAACTGGCTTCCAATCCAGATGCTCTTTCCAACATGCCATGCCAACTCAACACAACCATCCCGAGCCCCTCCTACACACGAGGCATAATGGGGCTACTTGGATACACAGCTGAGGGTGAGTCATCAGGGTCAGAGGGCAGCCAAAAGAAGGCCAGTGTCCAGACCACCTCTGCTTTGGTCCAGACCACCGCAGGAGGAAACTGGCCTCTCAGCTTCGGTGGGGAAGATGAGGGCAGCCAAGGAGGTGAAGAAGCTCAAGATGGTGGCCCACCAGGCCTGAGTGAAAAAGAAAAGGAGGAGAGGGAAGACGATGGGAGCTGGGATCAAGGACTTGAAAACCTGGCATCTGAGAGAGGAATAGATTTGCCCTGCCTGGCCGCAAGGACACATCATAAAAGGGCAAAAGTTGCAGAGTCAGATTTAGGCTCGAGAGAAAGGAAAATTTCCTAACACTTAGAACTAATCCAAAGTAGGATGGGTTCTATGTAGCATACACTTGAATCCAATGGCCTCATTTTACAGACAAGAAAACTGAGTTACACAGTTAGTGACCTGCCCAGGGTCACACAGCCAAGAAGAACCTGAAGCAGGATCTGAGCCCACATCTTCTGGCCTTTCCCTAGCCCCACACTGGCTCCATGCAGCTCCAAGTCTCCTAGGAAAGGCTGGATGGCTCCTGTTGGGCTGGGAGTGCAGGGAGAGGGTCCTTGTTCAGTCGGGCTGGACCAGCTGTGAAGAAGCAGGTGGTTCATTCCCCAATCAAAGAGTCCTCCTAATGCCCCAAGAAGAAGGTGGGGCCAGTGGTATTATCAGGAAACTGAGTCTCAGAAAGGTGGTGTGACTGCCCCACGGTCCTCCAGAGAGGTCATGGAGCCTGAGGACTGAGAAAAGGCCATCAGATCTGGCCATTAAGGGATGCCAATAACTAGAGAAAACGATCTGCAGTAAGTGATGGGGTCAGAAGTCTGCCTGTCAGGAGCTGAGTAAGGAAGGAAGTGGAGATGACTCTTCCTAGGCCTCGGGAAGTGAGTGCCCCTCCCATCTTCAGATCGATTCCTCAGGGGACCAGTTCAACTGTCCCTGGCCCTCTTCTCTCCTTCATCCCACCACCTCCAAGGGTTCTCTGCCAAGTCCTAATCCAGGTTACTCCCACCATCCATTGCCCTTGCTCCTATCACACTCTCCTTGAATGAAGCTGGAGAAAATATTAGCTCAACTAGGCAAGGCAATCCTAATTCACCAAAAGACATGGCAGCCATTCACTAAGCCCTCCCTCCCATCCCTCATTCATTCAGATGCCTTCCTGACCATCTCCTTCTTCACATCTGTCTCACACAAAAGGGGGCACTTTTCTCCTGGCCAAGCCCTCCACAGGCACAGGGGATCCTATTCCATCCTATCTTCTCTAGCAGATCACTCCCTCTATCATCCCCATTGCATCACTTATCTTCAATCTCTGTCCTGGATCTCACCGGCTCCCATGGATTTAATGATCTATACTAATGACTTTCAAATTTAGTTACCCAGACCTAATCTCTGCCGACCTAGCATCTCCTGGACATCTCAAACTGGCTGTCCCCTGGACATCTGAAACTCAACTTTCCCAAAACTGAACTCATTATCTTTCCCCCTAAACCCTCCCCTCTTCCAAACTCCCCAATTCTGTCCAAGGCACCACCCTCCCAGGGCCTCAGGCTCACAACCTAGGCATCATTCCAGACCCCTCCCCCAGCAGCTCAGCTGTTGCCAAGGCCTTTGCAGCATTTCCCCAGTATGTCCCCTTCTCCAGTCTGGCAATGCTGCCCCCTGGGGCAGGCCCTCAGTCCCTCAGGCCTGGACCCCTACAATAACCTGCGGGGGGATCTGTGGGCCTCAGCTGTCCCACTCCAGGCTGCCCTCTGCTGAGCTGTCGAATCGATCTTCAAACAAGGGTCTGATCATTTCACACACATCCCCTCCCCACTCTATCAACTCCAGCAACTCCCTATCACCTCCAGGAGCAAAGACAAAATGTTCTGTTTGGCTTTTAATGCCCTTTACAACCCAGTCCCCCCCTGCCTCTCCAGCCTTACCACACCTTACTCCCCCTGCCCCTTTCCAGTGACCTGGCCCCCTGCATTCCTTACACATGACCCTCCATCTCCAGACTCCAGGCATTTCCTCTGGCTGTGCCCCATGCCAAGAATGCCCTCCCTCCTCATCCTGGCTTCCCTGGCTTCCTTCAAGTCCCAGCTAAATTTCCAAATTCTACAAAAAGCCCTTCCCCATCCCCCCTTCATGTTCATGCCTCCCCTCAGTAGGCTGTCCCATTCATCCTGCAGATATCTCGATTGCACAGAGCTCTTTACGTGTTGCCTCCTCATTAGACGGTGAGGAGGGATCACAATTTTACCTCTCTTTGTAGCCATAGCGGTTAGCACAGTGCCCGGCACACAGCAGGCATTTAATAAATGCTTGTTGAATGACAGATGTTTCTCTGTGTCTCCAAGTCAAAGAATCAATAAATCATGGCTGTCGAGTACAAGCCCTTGTGTTTGGCAGCTGGGCCTCAGGACCCCAGACCCGGCGCTTCCCCATGACAACCTGGCTCTCTCTGGGCCTCCCTGTTTATCCAGATCCTCTCCCCTCCTCCAGAGGCCCCCGGCTTCTCTACTTCTGTGAAGCCTTCCCAAGTCCTGAGCCTCTTTGGGCCTCGGTTTCCTGCTCTGGAAAATGACGGTTTGAACTTAATGACCTCTAAAGTTTATTCAGGAAGAAAGGGTAGGTTTATTAAGCATCCTTATATGCCAGGCACCGTGCTGAGTACCTGACAAATATTATTTCATTTCACTCTCCCAAAAGCCCTTAGGAAGCAGATGCTATTAGTTTCATCCCCACTTTACAGTTAAGGAAATTGAGGCAAACAGAAGTTAAGTGACTGGCCCAGAGTCACATAGCTAGTGAGTGCCTGAGGCCAGATTTGAACTGGAGCCTTCCTGCTCTATCTACTGCATTACCCAGCTGCCTCTAGATTCTACAACTGCATGACCCCAAAGAAATGCATGACCCAAACTCCATTCTCACACGCTAGTGAGATAACAGGCGTTCCAACGGAGGGAGCCATGAAAGGAGAGGTGTGGGAGGAAGGAAGGTCTCCTTCCTGCCTCAGGCTTCTGGAACAAGAAAGTCCCTGGGCTAGCACATTCACAGGCGCTGCTGGGGAAGTGAGGAGGCCACTCCGAGCTTGGGGAAAGGGAACCCAAGGCCCTGAGACAACCAGAGAAAGCTGCCTCATTTGGCTGGAAAGTAAATGACAGGGAAGTTTGACAGGAGGCTGGAATAGGGGATGGGAATGGGATCGGGGGGAGGGGGGGCCCTTGAATGCCAAGATCAATAGGTTTTATTTGACTGGTGGCTTTGTGAGTGGCGGCTGTGCAAGGTCTCTACCTGTGTGTTGACCCTCCCTTTCACCTTAGTGACATTCTGGACACCATACAGAAATAATAGAGTCAGTTTTGTTCCCCGGCTTACCATCTAAATGACCTCTGTATTACAGCAAATGGGTCATTGCACCAATGCAGCTGCGACCCCCTTGCGTCTTCACATCAAACACTGGGAGGACTCACAAAGAGCCGCCAGCAGGCAGAGGCACCTACCGATCTTGGTTGACCGCAGCACGTCCTTTGAGGGCAGTTTCTTCTTTAACTCCTGTAAGGCTTCAATTAAATTTTCTCGGGGTTGCCCTGGAAGCTCCAACACCCCTTTCCATCTTTTGATGTCTTCGACAACCACCACTCTCTAGGAAGAGAAAAGTCATTTGGCAATTGAAGCATTCTCATTAGAAAGATGTCTGCTTTCACCTGCACTCGTGGGGCTCTTACTGACAGTAAACTAGTGATTCTGACCTGACCCAAAGTGCGGCATGTGGGATGGCCCTGAATGACGGGTAAAGGCTTCAGAGCAGGTCCTGGGCACTGCAGACCAGGAAGAGGGCGGATCTATGACCACGGGCACTGAGCAGCAAGCGCCAGGGAAGCGGGGCAGGAGAGGGAGAGTGAAAGCAAGTCGACTCAGACGCGACGTGAGTCTGTCTTCAGGAGGCCCACGTCTATGGAGACCTTGAGGAAGGAGGGCTGGGCAGCCCCAAAGAGCCATCTGCTGCCATGACAAAAGCTAAGGGTAGCCAGCAAGATCAAAGCGTGACCCATCTCGAGGTCAGAGCGGAGACTTCGGAGCAGCGCCTGAGAAGAGGACAGATGGCCCGGAGCAGGCCTATGGGGTCCAAGGGCTCTAAATCTGCCCCCAGAACACATGGAAGCCCTTCTTTGAGAAGTATCAACGGGGAATTTATGTGTGTAGAGACAATGTGGAAGGGCGATTTCTAGAAAGGGGGGAGAGGACAAAAAGAGGGTCAGGTCTGCTCTGGAAGATGCCAGGAATACTCAGTCTGACAAAACCAGTTAGGGAAACACGGTTCTTTCACAAGTCAAAGTAGAAGAGGCCGTTTCCTCTAGGTGCACTGAGGAGGTGGAAAGAGTCAAAGCCTAGCTTGGTGACTCTATAGAATACACCCACACCCTAGACCTGAAGGAGGCAGAACTGTGATCCCAGAAGATGTTGAGCATAAAATACTTCCCTCGGGGACCAGCAGATGCACCTGCGGGGCTAAGATTCAGGCTATGCTTTGGTCATAGAGTCTTCAAGGAAGACTCACAGATTGTCAGGGCTGGGAAGGGATGGTAGAGACACTCGCTGGCAGGCATCCAGCGAGGCCTCTCCATTGGGGTCCCAGCTCCCCCCATGTGGAAGAGTAACGAAAGCCAAGCCAGCAGCTCCACTGGCATTCCCTTTGGGAAAGCAAAAAAAGGGCCCTCCTCGCCCTCATTCTCGGGGAACAATTTCCTCGAGAGAAAACCTCAGCGCAGACAGTGAGAAAGGAAAGCGCCACTCAGCAGGGCTGCAAGCTGAAGTTTCCCTCTCTCTCCATGACTCAGCCTCTTCTGCCTGCCCTGGCACAGTTACAGTGAGGAAGAGCAACACACCACGTCCAGATGTACCCCGTCAGTGGAAGGTGGATGCCGGCTGTCTCTCAGGCGTCAGGACTGTATCTAACTTGGACTGAAGGCTAGGAAGGCTCTGGAAAGTTTACTTGTTGACACGTGGGTTGACACATGGGAGAAACAGAGGCATAATGGGAAAAGCATTGCCCTTGGAGTGAGTTTTCATCACTACAATCGCAGGTAATCCAAGCATTGTCATCTCCATTTCACAAACAGAAGCCGGAGGCCCAGGGACCTTCCTGGGTGGGCAGAGGTTCCCCATCCAGCACGTGTGAGGGCAAAGCTTGAGTCCCAGGCTTCAAACTCTCAAGACCAGTGTGCCTTCACTCGGCCACACTCGGGGCCTCGCTTGGGCTCCTCATCCGTAGAATGAGCAGGGTGCACTCCAGAGTGACAAGTCACATTTCATACAGAGCCTTGAGGTTTCTAAGATCCATCGACTTTCTAGGCTGGAGGACAACCCGGGGACCCCCAAAGGACCCTGCTGCAACAGGCCCAAGCAGTCTAGCCTCCTCACCCCACCCCATTCTGCCCTCGGGCTGAAGCAGAACAAGGCTAGGCCTTTTATGTGCTCGAAGACGGCTGTCAAGGACTCCTGATTGAATCCCCACTGCCACTGCTATTGGAAAAGGTTGGTCAATCCCCTCCCTGATGGCCCCACTCTGGCTGCACTTGCCATGCCTGGCATTTTCCAAACCAAAATCCCTCTCCTTGGCCACTGTCGTGTCTTCTCTATTCAAATGTAAGTTCCCTGAGGGCAGGGACAGTCTCACTGTTTTATCCATGCACCTACCATTAAACAGCGCCTGACTCTTGGCAAGTGAGTCACGATTACTTTTTCATTCGTTCAGAACTATGGGAGGTACATTTCTGCAGCACTTTGAGGCTGGCAGAGAACTTCACGCACACAATCTCGGATTGGCCTTCTGAGGCTTCAGGCACATACGTCTCATCTCCCCAGAGGCTGAGGGTGCCCCGGCACACGATCTCCACACATCCAGTGCAGCCCCAGGCCAGTTCGATTCAGTCTTGCAGACTCATTGGCCCACACCAGACAGTGGGGCTCCTAGAGGATCCCACCTCATTGAGTTCATTCAGAAGAAGCCAAGGTTGCAGAGACTTAGTATGTCCCAGCTGGTCACCACACCAGGGGGCAGCGCTGAGGACAAAATGAGCCAAGAAAAAATGTGGCCTAGCAGCCAATGGACTGGATCCTCCCGAGAGTTTCTCCCAATGGCAGAACCCACCTCCCTGCGTTTTCATGGTGCTCTGTGCCCTGACCACCACCACGGACGCTCCACAGCCAGAGCATAGACCCCGGGGCTTCCTGGAAGGGAAGGGAGAAGGGAACCTCAGGGTACAGCCCCCAGTCCAAGGGCAGAGCAGGCAGCAGGTCTACTGCAGGAAGAATTCTCCCTTGGGGGGCAGCGGTCTTGGGGCCATGGCCATTCCCAACGCTGTTGGATCCAAGATCCTGGGTCTGAGGCAAGGCGATGTGGGGGGCACTCGATGTGCCTGGCTCTCCCTCTCTCAGGGTGCCTCACTGCTTCAGCGAGGCTGGCTCGCCTGACTGGCAGTTGCTGGGGATAGAAACTGCCTTCTCTGCAGGGGTGTTTCCCCATAGACGGCCGTAGGGGTGCTGCTCCTCTTGGGTGAAGCTGCCAAGGAGCACCAGTTGACCAGCACTTGGTCAGGAAGAAGGTGGGTCCCTTCTCTGCGGCCCAGAACATGGGCTGCCTGGCAGTCACCAAGCGCCTTGGGGCAACGCTTCATGACATGGCTGAGGAGGGCCTCTGCTAGGATGGAGGAGACCCAAGGACTCACACAGGCCCAGGCTTCTCTCCAGGGTGCTAATCCTTCAGTACCATGCAGATGAGGCCCCACGGATGGTGTCCCTTGTCCCAAATGACTCCAGGGCATCCTCTCCCAGGAACACTCTCGCTACAGAAGATGCAGCCAACCCGGCAGCTGTCCTGCGGACCTTTCTCCAGCACATGGGCACCAGGGTAGCAGGTGGGGCGGTGCAGCTCTTCTCCCGCCCTCTTGGAAGCTCCTAGACCACAACACCTCCTTTTCCAAATGCCCATTTCCTAAACAACATTCTCTTCCACCCTTCTTACATCAACAAAGACTAGAAAAGTTACAGTCTACAGTGCCTGCTGCTCATCTCCCCCTTGACCTAGGAGTCATCTACAACTTCTGTTCTTCAGAAAACGGGGTGTCAAAACCTCCCAGGATCAGCAGGAGAAGCTGGTGCTAAAAATGGCTTTTGCCCTGGGGAAGAGCCTCTGATCACAAAGTGTACTGAAAGGCTTTCCTGGCACACCACCACCCCCTCTGCCACCTCTTCAATATTTGGACTGATTCACTCTCGTAATGCCCTCTCCCTCCAGGGCTTGCGTTGGCCGAGCCACCAGGCACGTTTCATCTAGGCAGGGGTTTGTCTTGGGGTTTTTATCAGTATAGTATAGGTCCTGTTCTCGTTTCAGCACTCGAGAATCTCGCTGGGGAGGCCCTGTCACATTCAGGGGTACAAAGCATCCGCACACAGGAGCCCCCGCAGGCCACTAAAGGGACTCTGTCCCCATCTGCATTCTGCATCTGACACCCTTCTGGCTTCGCCCAACATCACTCCTCTCCCGCACTCACAACGTCAGCCCAAATGGCCTTGCTGTTCCTCCCACCTCCCATCTCCATGCCTCAGGCCCACCAAGGGATCGCTTCATTGACTGTCTAGCAGCGCCCGGCACTCGATAAATGTGGATGCACTGACCGCTTTCCTCCCCCACAGTGGCCAACGTCAGCGTCAGTGGGATCACAGACACGGCGCAACCTTGGCTGTGCACCTCTGCTCTCTCCTTGTGGTGGATGAGTCAGTGGCATTTTCTACGGCCTCGTGCCAGCCCTGGAAGCCTAACCCGCCTTCTGCTAGCCAGGCCTCCTGTCTCACAGGGTGGAGGGTGGAACAGCCTGGGGACGCGCCAAAAGGCTGATAAGATGGCTTGCTGGTTCCAGGTTACTGATCCATTGCAAACTATCACTCCTCTAAAAGTGCACGTGAGAAATAACTCTGAGGGCTGCCTTCTCGCGATGTCTGTCGGGTCATGACGCAGATTCTGCATGGAATATGCAGCGTGTGTTGTCTGTGCACGCTGGCTCACTCGGGGAAGACACAGGCTCCCAAAAGGCACGGACGGACACAAGGAATAAAGGACAGAGGCGTCCCTCGTGCAGCAAGGTCTGTGAAGGGTTTTCCGACCTTCCACCTCGTCTGATCCCCAGAAGACAGATACCGCAGCCAGTAACAGGCTTACAGACAGGGAAACGGAGGCTCCCAGGGCACAGCCGGTGCCATAAGCAGGCCCAGAAGCCTGATTTCTCCTAACTCGGATTCCACATTCTTTCTGACCCCATGGCCAGTTCCCATTTCACCAGGCCTCCCTGCCTCTTGTTATCAGAGTACATCAGCCCAGACAACGCGCTACCTGTAGGATGATGAGCTGGGCCTGGAATGGAGAGGGTGACAGGATCCATCTGGTCACATCTCTCATTATTATTTACGTTTTCCTCTTCCCCAACAGAATGGAGACAAGCTGTGGATTTCAAGTGTCAGGCCCCTAAGATCTAGAGTGTGAAGATCTAGGAGTGTGACCTCAGATAGTGGAGGGATCTGCTCAAGGTCACACAACACAGGCGCTGGTCCGAGCCAAAGCTGGGGTTCTGACCCAGCTGCTCAGGCCACGGATCCAATGTTCCTTCCCCATGGAAGCTTCCAGCCCTGACTCACCCCTTACCAGGGGTGCCCATGGTAACTCTGAATCAAGAAAAAAGGAGGAAGAATCCTCGCCTGACCTGCTTTACAGCACCTGAAAGATTTTCCCCGTGGCCCATACCACACCTTCGATGCAACAGCAAACACTTGCCAAGTACTGACCACAGGTCAGGCACGGTGTTAGGGCTTCAAAGACACAGAAGAAAGCATCCTCCCCTCAAGAAGCTTACATCTCCTGGGGGTTACAACACAACACGTCCTCAGCCAAGTAACACAAAGAATCCACAAAGCCAATGCGAGGTCACTGCAGGGAAGGGAGAGGGGAGCAGAGGGGCCCAGGCAGGAAAGGCCTCCTGAAGAGGGGCTGGCCCCTGAGATTTACAGAAAGGGGCACTGTCATCACGCCAGTCCTTCTGGAGCACAGAGGACAGCAAGGGGACAATTCTAAAGAGGCGCCCTGAGGCCGGTGGGAGCCAACGTCCAAGGGCTGTATTACCAGCCTGAGAACTGTGTGTTCCATCTGTTCCATGCGCTGCGGATTGTCAAGTATGGGTGTCCTAGAAACCTGGCAGCCTGGAGAAGGGAGACTAGCAGAAGGAATTATTAGAGGCCCCCACAATAGTTCAGACAGGAGGTGATGAGAAGAGAGGGAGGTAAGAGATGCCATAGACTGACCGGACCAAGGAGCTGGGAGAAGGGGAAGCCAAGGAGAATCCTGAGGCGGCCAAGCCAGCTGATTCTGGAATGGGGGTGCCTTCAGTTTGGAAGAAGAGAATGAGTTCCAGTTGAGCCCTGCTGTGTCGGACCACCCAGATGAAGATGTCCAGCAGCACGAGAGCTCGGGAGAGGGAGGAAGGCCACGGCGGCTGCCTCATGATTACAAAGTCCTCCCCAAGCCAGGTGCAAAAAACCCCAGCAAGGGCTCCCCAACCTTTGCTCCCTCCTACCTCTCACCTTCAGAGACTCAATTGTGGCCTGCTTGTAAACCTTTTCTCCAGAATCTTTCTTCTGAGGGCTGCTGCGAGGCAGAGGTTTTCGAATGATGAACTTATCCATCTCGTGAGAGCTCCAGCTCTCCAGCACAGCCAGTCGGGAAGGGGGCTGTCCTCCAAAACCTACAGGACGGTAACAGTGCAGCAGTGGGTGAGATGGCTTACCAGAAGGCACCAACAGAGCGGTATACATACGGTAAAGACCTACAGATCCGTCACGGCTAAGCTCAGTCACCCCCCCACACACACACGCTGTTTTAAGGTTGAATTAACTCCAGTTTTCTTCCCACCCGTGCGAGGGCCCTGGCTCTGACACCTCCTGGCCGCGTGACTATGGACGAACTAGAAACAAGCCACTTTGCCCCCTAAGCCCCCGCTGCCTCATCTGGAAGACAGAGGTAGTGCACGCACTCCCGGCTCTCATGACAGCGTAATCACATAAACAGGAGAACACCATGGGAAGAGAGGCACCGTGACCCCTTTCGACAGACGAGAAAGCCCAATGACAAAGGGGCGAAGACTTCCCCAGAGGAACCGGTCAGGAAGAAGCAGCACCTGGATCCCTAGCTCTACAGCCAGCGCCCTTCCAGACGCAAGCAGGGCCTTCCCGAGCTCTGGGTCCTTTAGATTTGGGAAAGCGGAATGCCTCACTGAAACCACCGAGGAGGTACAGGCGCCATATTCCTGTTGCATAAAGGAAAGAAGAGAACGAACATTTACCAAGTGCCTATTACGTGCCAGCAACCATGCTCAGTGCTTTATCTCACTCCATCCTCACAATAAGCAGGAAGGAGGTGCTGCTACTATCCCCATTCTACAGCTGAGAAAAGTGAGGCAAATAGAGTGATTTGCCCAAAGTCATTCAGCCACTGTGTCGGAGGCCAGACTTGAACTCAGGTGTGTCCTAACTCCGGGCCCAGTATGTGGCATACGGGAGCTGCCTCCAGGGAGGTTTGCAAAGTCAGAGCTACCTTGACCAAGCCAATCCATCCAATCCAGCACACACCTTCCATGGAATGAAGTTTTCAAAGGTGGAACAAAGGCCTCCTTAAACCTCATCGACGTGATCTGGATGACAGGACAGTCCACACCCCACCAAGCAGAACATTAATCACGCCAATAAGATCGTTCATTCCTTCTGGATGGCAGATGTCTGTCTTTCAGCTCCTCCTGATGACCACCCCTCACTTATTCATTAAATCTTCACTGTACTGGGTGTGGTGAGTAGAGAAATAATATGCCCATTTTACAGAGGCAGGCACAGAGGTTTAACTGAGTTCCCTAAGTTCATACAGCTACTAAATGGATTCAAACCCATGTGTCTTCTGCTCTGTTTCCTCTACCAGAGCACAAAGGACATTGGACAATAACCCCATCACCACCAGGACAAGTCATAGTGGATGCAGCACTGGGCTTGGAATCAGGAAGACCGAAGTTCAAATCCTGCCACAAATACTTCTTAGCTATGCTCTGGGTCTTTTTTTTTTTTTAGTTTTTTAAAAATTAATTTATTTTGAATTATCAATAATCACTTCCATAAGCTTTTGAATTTAAAATTTTTCTCTCCCTCCCCAAGATGGTGTGCAATCATACATCCCCATTAAACATATTTTCACATTAATGTTGTAAGTAAGAATTAAAACCATAGGAGGAACCACCAGAAAGAGGAAACAAAACAAAACAGAAGAAAAAAATAGCAAATAGTATGCTTTGATCTGCATTCAAACTCCATAGCTCTTTCTTTGGACGTGGATAGCATTTTCCATCATGAGGCCTTTGGAGATGTCTTAGATCCTTGTATTGCTGAGAAGGGTAAAGTCTATCAGTATTAGTCATCGCACAACATGGCTGTTACTGTGTACAACATTCTCCTGGTTCTGCTCATTTCACTCAGCATCAGACCATACAAGTCTTTCCAGGTTTTTCTGACATCAGCCTGTTCATCATTTCTTATAGCACAATAGTATTCCATTACATTCATATACCACAACTTGCTCAGCCATTCCCTAATAGATGGACATCCTCTCAATTTCCAATTTTTTGCCACCACAAAAAGAGCTGCTATAAATATTTTTGTACATGTGGGTCCTTTTCCTTTTTGTATGACCTCTTTGGGATATAGCCCTAGAAATGCCATTGCTGGGTCAAAGGGTTGCTTCGGGTCTTTTTACAGGCTGTCCCCCAGGCTTAGAATTCTCTCCCTCTTCATCTGTTTCCTGACCCCCTTGGCTTCCTTCAAGTCTGAACTAAAATCCTAAAATCCCACCTTTAGCAACAGGCCTTCCCCATGTCATTTTCATAGTACACAGAGCAATTGGCCTGGAGTCTAAAAAACCCAAGTTCAAATCTAGCCTCTGACACTCACTTGCTATGTGGTTACACCCAAGTGGGCAAGTCATTTAATGTGTCTGCTTTGATTTCCTAATCTGTAAAAGAGGGATGATAATAGCACTCACCCCAAAGGGTTATTAGCTCATATGGTATCATACTTGTAAAGTGTCTTGCAAACCTTAAAGCACTATATATAAATGCTGACTATGACAATTTACCCTGAAAATATCTTGTCTGCACACAGTTGGCAGCACATGAGCTATTAAACTGTGAGCTTCTTGAAGGCAGGACCATGTTTTTGCGTCTTTTGCATTCTCAGACCTTAGTGCAATGCCTGGCACACAGTAAGCATTCAATACATGCTTGGTGATTGGTTGTCACTTCTGGGCAAGGTCACCACTAAGCCTCAGTTCTCACATCTGTAAAATGAGGATAATGTTCATTCCTTCTGGACAGCAGATGTCTGTCTTTCAGCTCCTCCTGACAACCCTCCACTTATTCATTAAATCTTCACTGTACTGGTTGTAGAGAGCAGAGAAATAATATGCCCATTTTACAGATGCAGGCACAGAGGTTTAACTGACTTCCCTAAGCTCAAAGGGCTTACTACCTCTCAGGGTCCTTGTGAGGCTCAAACTATATATTTGAGTTTTTGTTTGTTTGTTTTATAAAAGAGTTCCTGACCCACATGTACAAAAATATTCGTAGCAGCTCTTTTTGTGGTGGCAAAGAATTGGAAATTAAGAGGATGCCCATCAATTGGGGAATGGCTGAGCAAGTTGTGGTATATGAATGTAATGGAATACTACTGTGCTATAAGAAATGATGAACAGGCTGACTTCAGAAAAACCTGGAAAGACCTATATGGTTTGATGCTAAGCGAAGTGAGCAGAACCAAGAAGACTTTGTACACAATAACAGCCACATTATGTGATGACTGAGATTGCCAAACTGAACCCTTCTCACCATTACGAGGATCTAAGACATCTCCAGAGGCCTCGGGATGGAAAATGCTGTCCACATCCAAAGGAAGAACTATGGAAGTCGAATCGCTATCACTTATTTTTACCTTCTGTTGAGTTTTGTTTCATCTTTCTGATGGTTCCTCCTATTGGTTTTAATTTTTACTTACAACTTCACTAATGTGAAAATATGTTTCATGGGTATGTAAATATAAAGCCTACATCAGATTGTGTACCGTCTTGGGGAAGGTGGGGGGAAGGAAGGGGGAGAAAAATTTTCAACTCAAAAGCATATGGAAGTGATTGTTGATAAATCAAAATAAATTAATAAAATTTTAAAAAAAAGAAAGAGTTTCTAAAATTTATTTCAAAGACAGACAGTAAGAAAAGAAATGAGGATTTTTCTATCTCTGCTTACCACAAAACTAAAAAGAATACACGCAAGCTGGCATTCTAACTTTCCTTCCAAGTCACGTCATTGCCGTCCCAGGAAAGAAGCCAGGTGATCATGTGGCCTCTGGCGTTTCATCCTGTAGGCCTCCATCTCCTCTTCTGCAGGCTCTTGGACTTCATACATGCTATTGTAGGGCCTTTTCCTCTCATGGAGCTGCACGGTCTCCTTCACTGGAGGAGGTGGGTCTCTTCAGCATTTCATGCCTTTTTCAGTTTTTTTCTTCCCCCTCACTGTTTGAACTACTCTTCTTGTGTTTCTTTTTCTTCTCTTTCTGTTTCTCTTAGTGACGCTCCATCAGAGTTTCTGGTCTGCTCACTTGCTCTTCTCCCACAGCATCATCAGGAATATATTCATCTGCATTAGCAATTTCCTTCCCAGCTTCTCCAGTACATAGGAAAACTCGACAAAGGAGTGATAGCACTTGCACCCCCATGTACCTTCCAACGGGTACCCCGGATATGTGTATACTTGTAGATCTCGACATCCTCCTCATACTTAGGGCAGGCAATAGCTCACTCTTGCCCATCGATGACTGCTCCATGTCTTGAATACTTCACAGTCTTCTGTTTGAGCTAACAGTAACTGGGGGAGGGGCTGGACATCCAGGTGTTCTTGACCTCCCTACTTCTCCAAGACGCTTTCTTTCTCTTCTTTGAAATCTTTTTTCAGACCCTTTGTCCTAAGCCTCCCAGGCAAACAACTATTTGTGCCATTGAAACTTTATCTCCAGTGTGTCAAAGAAAACATCCCCCGCATAATTAACTTCATCAGGATTCTTCCCCACATCGGCATAGAAAGTCTCTCTCATTGCTCGTTTCTGGATCACAGAAATATCTCTGAGAATCCTGGGACTCCAGATTGTAATTCATCTTTCAGAGTCAAAATTCTCTCCAGGTATATCAATGCCATCCGTACACTTATCTTCACCCTCATCCTCACTCTCAGGGTCTTTCTCCCCCTGAGAATTTGATTCTTCTCCCCACTAGTGTTGTGGAGAATTCACTTGTTCCAACAATTTTCCAGAGGTGAATTCTTTTTGTAGCTTCTGAGTCTGAGTGTATGCTTTAGCCAGATCAACTTTGGCATAGTCTTCCACAATGTTCATATGTTGTTCTGAGTATAAGCCATTCCACTGGCCCCTTTTACCATCCTTGTCAACCACAAGTTGAGGGTGGATGTGCTCATCTGGTGCTATGTTTGTTCCTGGGAATTCGGCACCCACAGGGCGAGGTCTCTCAAAGAAGCCCCTTTTTCGGTGGGTCTATGCTCCTTGGCATTGATTCCTGGTCATGAAATTCTCCAAATGAACTGTCCTTTCTCTTCCTCAGGTTGGGGTCTGCGATGCTCTAGTGTAGATCTTTCCCATAGATCCAGTATCGGGGCACAGAGATGTAGGAGGCACATGAGGACTGGCATCTTTCCCTGCCTTATCTACTTCGGCAGGAGCATTCTCCAGCTTTCTCTGTTCTTCCTCCTTCTTTCTCCAATGCATTCTTGTCCTTTTCTTTGGCTCTTCCAAACCCACGTCATTTGATTGTCCAGGGTGGAGGATGTTGTTTATTGCTTCTGCTTCAGCTGCTGACGTGGGCCCCCATGCTTCCCTGGGAGAAAGACCGGGAGAAGACCCCGGACCAGGACCTGGACACGCTTCTCCAAACTAGATAATACATGTAAGGCGCTTTGCAAACCTTAAAGCGCTAACTGAGGGCCTTGTTACTGTTAGAGGGGCTGCAGGAAACACCACTCCCCACCCCCAACTGGGACCCCTAGCAACGGGCAACCAATTACCTCTGGACTTCGGGTAATCGCTAGTAACGGTCAGCCAATCACGCTAATAACGAGTAGCCAATCACCTGTGGAAGTCAAAGGTTCTGAGCAACTGACAGCCAATCACCCACGGCGCTGAACGCTCTCCCCCCCCCCACAGCCACCGATCCTCCTCACGCCCGCCTTCCCCTTTCCGAGGAGCATCCACTCCCTCAGAGCCTCCTGCCCTCCCCCTCCCCCTCCCAGGGGAACATCGGGGCAGCCCCTAGGGCCTGCCCTAGCTCAGGCAGACCCACCAGAGAAGCGGTTCTGGAGCGCGGGCCGCCTACTGCCCGCGAGAGTCCTCGCTGTCCCCGGACGGCGCCGGCTCCAACTCCGGAAGCAAAATGGTCGCGCTTCCTGCCGGACCCTGTAGTTCCGCCCGGGACTGAGGCCCCGCCTTCCCCCGGCCGCCCGGGGCGGGACGGACTCCATTGCCCAGCATGCCCCTGCAGGCGCCCTCGGCTGGTGGATCTCGCGAGCCTGGCGCCCTTGGGAAGTTCGTTACGAAGGAGAAGGCTGAGGCCGCGGTTACTGGGAGGTCCCGAAGGGCGCGGGGCGGAGGCGGGGCGGCGGAGGCGGAAGCGGCCGCGGCACCGGAAGGAGGCGGGGAGGAGGAGGAGGAGGAAGAAAAACAGCCACTTTCGGAGGAGGAGGAGGAGGAGGTGGCGGCGGCGGCCGCGGCGACCGAAGGGACGAGACAAGATGGCGGCGCTGGGGGCGTTCCGGGTCCGGACCCGGGCCCCGCGGCTCCCGGGGCCACCGTTTCTGCTGCTGCTGGCCGCGGCGCTGGGCCTGCCCCGGGCCGCCGGGGCCGCCTCGGCCGAGGCCTTCGACTCCGTGCTGGGCGACACGGCCTCCTGCCACCGAGCCTGCCAGCTGACCTACCCCCTGCACACCTACCCTAAGGTAGGCCCGACCCGCGGAGGTCCCCTTCTCCCTCTCCCCCGCTTCCCCTACCCGCGGGGTGCCCCTACTTTCCTCCCCCTCCCCTCGGAGTCCTCCTTCGCCCGCTTCTACTGTCTGCGGGGTTCCCCCACCCGCGGGGTCCCCCTGTGCCTGCTTCCCCTGTCTGCGGGGTCCCCCTCCTCTCCTTCCCCGCGGAGTCCCTCTCTCTTCGGGGGTCCTCCTCCCCACAGGGTCCTTCTCCTATGAGTGCCCCCCACTCGCTCTCCTTGTCCTCCCTTGGGCACGTCCCCTCCCCCTTTGTTCACCTCCATCTCCGCCTCCTCTTCCTCCCCCTGGGGCCCCCTCCCTGCTTGTTGGACTCCTCCCCTTGTCTCCCCTCGTTCCCTCCTTGCCCTGCTCCCCCAAGCTCCCTCTCCCCTTCCCCTTTGTCTCCTCTTTCTTCAGCCTTTATCCGCGTCTCCGTCTTTTCTGGTCTCCCTCCTGTGTCTTCTCCCCCCTTGGTTGTCTGTTGCCTTCCTCCTTTTCCTCTTGCCTCTCCCGCTGACTCCTCCTCCCCGGGTCCCTTTCCTCTTCTCGTTCGTCTCCTCCCTGCTGCCCCCCTCCCCTGCTGTCTTTGGCTTGGCGCTCGGGTCCCCCTCCTCCCGTACCAACTGAGCCTCGCCCGCCCCCCCCCCCGCCCTCCCGCAGGTGCTGTGTCCTTGTTTAACCTGGAGGCAGGTGGGGCGGGGCGCCGAGCTCGGGGTCCTACGCTGGATGGGTGGGGGTCCTTCCTGCCTGGAGCCCTCCTCGCATCTCTCCTGCATCCACCCACGTTCAAGTGCTTTCTCATCTGCTGGTGCTCCTTAGGGAGGAATTGTGCCCGCCTCTTCATCTGTCTCCCGAGGGTGCAGTCCGAGTTACCCCGAGGTCCCCAACGCTCCCCTCTTGCCGCTGCTTTCCCGATCCCCCAGACTACTTGCTGCCCTCCCTCTCACTTGTCTGTCTTGGCTCCACCTTCTGGCCTGTTGCTACGGTTTTTCTTCAACTCCCCTCTCTTCCTAGGGCATCTACTCCTTTGTCAGCATCCTTACTTGTGCCCCACCCTCGCTCTCTCCTCTCAGCCTTTGCTTGCTCAAGGCTGCCAGGTGGCAATCATTCCAGCGTACAGTGGTGTCTCCCAAAATCCAGGCCTTTGGAAAGAAGTGCTGTTCGGGGGATCTAGAAATGTATTCTGTGTCCTAACTAATAGTATGTTGGTATAGCTTTGTTTTTCTAGAGTCACTCTGTAGGTTAAGAAGGCAGGCATATTAGTGTCCCTTTTTTTTTTTTTACAGAAGAAACTAAGGGTCAGGTTAAGAGTCACAACCAATCAGAATCAACCCCAGGATCCCCAAGGTACAATCAGGGGTATGGGGGCTCTAGAATTCTCAGACTCGAGATGGAACAATAGGTACATCAGGAAGATGCCCGCATCTTAGAACACTGGGAATTTGGGGGGTTTGTCCTTGTATCCTTCGCACCTAACAGAGCGTCCAGCGCATGCCACCCCTGCCGGGGGAGAGTTGGTAACAGGCAGGCCCAACAATTCCTGTCCTAGGGGAGCCAGGCTTGGGTTTTGTTTGGAGAAACATGATGGCCAAAGGCCGTGTGTACAGCTAAATATAAAACAGAAGCAAAGTACTGGGGAAGATTAGCCCCAGGCTCCCAGAAGAGATGGCATCTGGGGATTTTGTTAGCCTGGGGGCCGGCGGTGGCCCTTAGAAGACTTACTTCAGTGCACTGGAGCCCTTCCTTCCTGGATTCCTTAAGGTTCTCTGTTACCAGGGCGGCAGGCAGCACCTCCCTTTCCTTATACAAAGCCAAGCGTTTATGATTTTGGGCCCCTGTTACATAGGACGGGTGTAATAAAGGTCCCACCTTGAGGGGGCAGCTAGGTGGTGCCAGGCCTTGTGACCTCAGGCACCTGCCTCCCGGGCTTGTTGTGAGGAACATACGAGGTGAAGCACATAACATAGTGCCTGGCCCATAATAAGTGTGTATTCCCTTTCTTCCCTCCGGAACCAGTTAGTCCCAGAATAGAGAAGAGCCTTCTGGGCATCCTCCCAGACCCTCGGGAGTCAGCTGCAATTCCTCCCTGTCTCACTCCGTAGCCAGGCTGTTGCCAAGGCCTCAGCTTCACCTCCCCCATGCCCCTCCTTTCTCTGCTCTCCCCAACTCTGGACTGTTGCACTAGCTGCTGGTCTGTCTGTCCCCATTCCAGTCCATCCTCCATTCAGCCACCAAAGAAATTATCCTGAAGCCCAGGTGCTTCATGAACTCCGGTGACTCTCTCTCCTGCCCCCGGGATCAAAAACGCCATCCTTCACCAGCTGGCCCCCTCACACCTCTCCAGCCTTCTTACACCTCAGTCCCCAACAGTTACTCTTCATTCCAGTAACTCTTCCACAAACAAGCCCCTCCAGCCTCTCAGCCCCAGGCATTTTCTCTGGCTGTCGTCCCGTGTCCCCGTCCCCCCCCCCCCCCCCCCCCGTGCCTGGAATGCTCTCCCTCTACTCCAACTACTGACTGCCCCAGCTTCATCGTTTACCTGAAGCCTTCCCCCTGTTAATTGTCTCCTGGTTAGCCTGCATATGGCTCATTGTACATGTTTGATTACTCATTGTCTTCCCCATTCCCTATTGTAAGCTCCTTCAGGGCTGAGACTGTCTTGCTTTTTTTTTTTTTGTATCCCCAGCACTTAGCAGTGCTTAATAAATGTTTATTGATGAGTTAAATAGGTCTGGGGCATCATAAACCTTTGATTAAAAAAAAGTCTGATATCCAAGATATGTAGGGAGTTGTCAGTCTCCAAGCATTGATTAAGGGCCTACTCAGTGCCAGGCAGAGATAGCTCAGTGTTGGTGTCACAGTAGATAGAGAGCCAGGCCTGATAGCAGGAAGACTCATCTTTCCAAGTTCAAATCTGGCCTCAGACACTTACAAGTTCTGTGACCCTGGGCAAGTCACTTCATCCTTTTTGCCCTAGTTCCTCCTCAGTAAAATGAGCTGGAGAAGGAAATGGCAAACCAGTATCTCTGCCAACAAAACCCCAAATGGGGTCATGACTGAAAGGACTGAACAACAACGTCTATGCCAAGCAGAACTCAAAAGGCAGCATGAAATCATGGTCAGAGAGCTCAAACGGACTAACTGCCTGTCTTTGGGACCCTCTGCAAGTCTCTTAACTACCCAGAAATCCTCGTGGTGAAAAAGGGTCCCTGTGCTCCTCCTTCCAGCTCCCTTCCTCTCTGTGAGCTGCCAGCCTGCTCCTGCCTCTAGTGTGGAAGAAGGCAGCCAGTGCCAATACGTGAAGCATGGCTTTGGAGAGGTGCACAAACAGATGGCTTCTGGGCTTGAGTGGGAGCTGGGCCTTTGATTCCGTTTAGAGTAGAGAGGAAGCGATTGCCCCAAAGTTACGCAGCCCTTTTAGCCAAAATGGGATTCAACCAAGGTCTTCTCATGCCAAATCCATGGTTTGTTTTTTTTAACTACACCACGTTTCCTTCCTAATTTCAACAGTTCAGACATGGAGAAAGTGCTGAGCACTTTAGTCATTGGTTGAAAGAATCTAGGATATGTTTGCCTTTTTCTATCCCATTCTACAAACACTTATTAAGCACTAATATTCCCATGAACAGTGCCTGCCCTTGAGGAGCTTGAATTCTGAGTGGGGGATATCCCACAGATAAATACCAGATAATGTGAAGAGGGAAGCAGAACAGCTGAGCCTTGAAGGACGTTAAGGATTAAGATAGTAGAGGGGATGAGCGGGCAAGGGGCACTTGTGTACAGTGAGTCTAGAAACTGGCATCCTGGGCCAGTGTGCTGGAGCTTTGTGGCGGAGAGTGTTTGATGGGAGGTATTGGGAAGCCACCAGAGATCCTCAGAGTTGGGGGGGGGGGCACAAACGCTTGTGCTTTGGGCAGCTGGCTGGAGAAGAGGGGGCATTGGAGAACGAGCAGGGCTAGGCTTTTTTGAATTTTTTACTTTTAACTTTCCTGATGTGTAGTTACATAACCTGTCTGGATCAAATAATAGATGGAGAGAATAATGCACAGGGTTAGTGCTCATTGGGAGGCTTTCTAGAGCATATTTTCTGATAGTCCACCTAGTGTTCTTGGCCCTCTCCAGTCTGACTTTCAGCCTGTGTCTCCAGCTTTATCTTATATTATTTCCCCATATGCTTTTTACCAGAGCTGACTTATTAGCTATTTCCCAAATTCACTTGGTCTCTCATGCCTGGAATCCATTCCTTCCTTACCTCTAACTCTCAAAATTACTGTCCTTCAAGTCTCAGTCTTGTGTACCTTCCCAGTTCCTCCCCATCCTACATTAATGCTGTTCTCCCCTACCTAAAAGTACCACACATCTGTTTACATATGTTCTACTCCCCCCATCACCTTCTCTCTGTACATATATACATTTATTTTCTCATGCACCATCCATTCTGGGTCCATCCCCCTTCTCCCCCCCCATAGGCTTTTGTTTCCCAGTTTTGTGTCTTTGTATGACAAAAGCCTAGCACCAAGCATTTTGTATATCATAGGCATTTAATAATCACATGTTGAATTGAATTGAAACCAGTTTGGCATTTTTAACATGTTGAGCACCAAAAGAGTAAAGAAAATATGTTAAGTTCTACAGGCAAATGTGGCATCTGACTCCCTGGCTCACTCCTTCAGCACAAGAATTCTGTTCAGTTTGAAGCAGCACTCGTTGTCCTTAGACTGTGCTGGACAGATCAGAGGAGGCACCTGTAAAATTCTACTTGTCATTCTGAGTACAGTTCAGTGGTATCTAGCAGGTGGTAGAACTTACAAAATAGGTCAAGAACTGGATTTTAGAGGCGGAAGGACCTTAGAAATTGTCTGTCCCCTCCCACCTGTGCACTGGTTTATTAGGTTGGCCTGTTACCAAAAGGAAATCCATTTGGAAAGATTCTGTAAAGCTCCTCCTGCCTTTGAAGACTCGGTGCACAATGTTCCCAGAACAGTGCAGGCGAGCCACCTCGGAGGAGGTGCGCTGCCCAGTTGGCAGCATCGGTCACCTTCCGTGCCACATGCTTCCTTCAGGGGAAATGAGTGGTTAAGTGTCTACTGTGTGCTAGGCTCTGTGCGCAGCGCTTTTTTTTTTTTTGAAGGAATGGAATCAGAATTAAGGCCTGAAAAACTCTCCCTCAGAGTCGTGCCTCGTGGATCACAGCTTTTCTTAACTGGCTGCTGCTCTTGCATGACGTCACTAATCCTCCTTCCGGGGAGAAATGCCTGAGACTTTCCTGTTTTGTTGGTACCTAACTGCTGTGTGCACACGCCATCTCCTTCCTTACCAGGGGGCTGCTGCCAGTTTGCACACAGTGGAGGGAACAGTAAGTTGAGGGCTTTGGTTTCCATATTAGTTTGTTACCCATATCATATGTGCCTTATTGTCAAAGTCCCTTTGGACCTTTTAAGGTCAGTCTCCTCAGATCTACTTTTTTTCTTTGAAGAGGGGAACCTCAGAGCTAGGAGATCAGTTAGGCAGTTCACATTGTCCAGTATGGGAAAATTGTGTATCTAGCGATCTTCAAGGGAACTTCCTCTTCCCCCAGATTCACACCTGCAGATGTCTGATAACTGAAATACTTTGCTCAATGTGAACTTCTTTTCACCAAGTGTTAATTCAGACATATGCTTTGTGTCCCCCGTCCCCCCCCCTCATCTAACTCGTATAAAACCTAGGTGTTGGCCTGTAATTTTGGTGTTACTTTTTATACCCACACACAGAACGTTCTTTCCAAAGAGACCACATATCAGGCCTGTGGCCTGTATTTAGACTCGTATGCAATCTGAATCCTTCCTTGTATGTCAGCCATTGTTACATGTTCTCCTTTTTCCGGGCTTTAGTGACGCTGTGTGCCACATGGGGAAGGATGCTGATGGGTCCTTCAGCAGAGCATAGTGTGCCTGGCATCAGCACTAGCTTTGAGGGCAGAAGTCCACCTCCTCTTGGCCTCCAGTCTGCTGTTGCCTCCCTCGTTCACCTCTGCTAATGTCCTGTTTATACCATTGTTACTCGATACCCCTTTTAAATAGCAACGTTTCCCCAGAAATGTGCACTTGGCCATAGAAGATGGAAAGGAAAAGGAATAATTTATTTCCTTTCAGTCGTCTTTTCCTACATGAGCTTCAAAAATAAGCCACAAAAGCCTTTGCGGGCAACGTGGGCATTGTGGTGTTGCCCCCAACTCCTGCCTCTCTTTTACTCTCAGTAAAATACCTTCCAGTAAAGACTTTATAGCAGATGCTACTAACTTTGCTTCTTTTTTAGCTTTCTTTTCCGGGGATAATCTTGGCCTTTTGGTAATCTCCTCTGGTCTTCTAACTCCATAGGAAGAGGAGTTGTATGCCTGCCAGAGAGGCTGCAGGCTGTTTTCAATTTGTCAGTTTGTGGATGATGGAATTGACTTAAATCGGACCAAATTGGAGTGTGAATCTGGTAAGATGACGTATTAATGACATTCTCTACCTTTTTTTTTCTTTGTTACATTTATTTATTTAAAGAATCCCAAGCATCTTCTATTAAATAGTCTTATGTACACTTTGCAGTTGTCACAGTTTCCATAGCTGCTGCTCAGAACTGCCAGATTGCTGGGGTTTCTGTAATTCCATCTCATTTCTAGGACAATGTTGGCTTTAGGATGCCTTTGTTTTACCAACCATTTGGCTTAAACAAATGAAGTGGCAATTACTGCACTCTTAATTCATCACTGTGTCTTCTTAGGTGGTATGATTTTCCTCTCTAAGATTTTTCAGTCATAGGTTGGTTGGCACCGGCTGGTGAATTTTGCTTTATCAGGCCTTTGACTAAATATTGAATAGTGTATTCTTTGTGTCTGTTCACATCATTCTTAGTGGCCCGATATTGTGTCAGGAAAAAGAAACTGGTTTAATGGAAAAATAAAAGGATCCTGTCTATTATACATACATCTTCCAGTAGACTTCGTTTTCAGTTTTCATCTGAATACTTTTTATCACCAGCTTAGAAAAATGTGCCCTAATTTTCTCAAAGTTGAATGTCTTGCTTAATTGTTTTATTTTGAATCTTTTTAAAATCCTTTTTTCTTTGTCCTCTTTGTTAACTCTCTGTCTCTGAAGTAAATGGTGTGGTAACAATGTCACAGTCCTGGGCCAGGGTGGGAGGAGATGTGCACTTTCAAATCCTAACAAGGATCACTGATGTGTTCGTGGGGCAGTGAAAAAGCCCTGGGCTGATAGTCAAAGACAAACCTGAGGTTGAATCCTGAGTTTGCTCCAGACTAGCCAAATTAATGACCTTGGCCAGGTCATTGTAAACCTATTTGAATCAATTTTCTCTGTGATGGCATTCATAAAGTATTTTTAAAGTTTGTAAAGCACTTTGCTTATGAAAAATCTTGCATTGATTATTGCAAATGTTATGGACCCCATTTTACAATGAAAAAAATCTCAGTCCGATTAGTGTCAGGGTCACAGTTCAGATCTGGAGGTTGTCTCTCCTGACCCAGTCCAGGGCTCTCCTCTACTGAAACTGCACTCACTCCACTTAGCTTTGTGTGTATGTCCTAAGGGAAAGAAGGCACTGTGTGAATTACAAAGAGCTGTGGAGCAGTTTGTGGCATAAATACCTTTTTCTGTGATTATTGTTATCACCATCTTACATCAGCATAGCACGGGAGAGTTTTCAAAGCACTTTGATGTGTATTCCGATTGATTGGCTCCAGACCCTGGTGAGCTGCAGAGAGCTGCTGCTGCTCCTGCTTTATAGGGGACAGACTGAGGCTTTAGAGAAGAAATCCAGTGACTTCCTCATAGCCGTGCGGCTACGGACTGGCAGAACAGAGACAAAAGCCCTCTTGTGCCTCATCTCTCGGTTTTCCCAGGGTAGCCCCCCGATCTCCTCCAGCCCCACTGATAGGCTTGCTCTCTTCCTGCTGGTCCGTGGAATCTGCCGAAGCAGTGCTTGTTGATTGAAATGTGGGGCTTAACAGAAACAATCACATGGCCTGGCCTTCGCCTGGACCACATTCCGATGGGATGCGCTGCTCGTGGAGCCCTGCGCACCTTCCCTGAAGCTCATCTCTCTCCGTTTCTCTCTCCCTCTCAGCTTGCACAGAGGCGTACTCCCAGCCTGGCGAGCAGTACGCTTGCCATCTGGGCTGCCAGAGTCAGCTGCCGTTTGCCGAGCTGAGACAAGAACAAGTAAGCACACAGCCCTCCTTCGCTTCCTAACAACAGCAGCTTTCTTGAGGGGCGCTAGCGCAGCTCCCTGCTCTCCCACCAAGTCACATTCAGGTGTCAGCAAATGGGAAGGGGAGTGCGTTTGTCACGTAACAGAGTCTCAGGCTCCACAAAGATCCCAACAGGCCAGAACAATGTCCAACTTTGCTAAGTTGGCACTGAACAGGGATATAGAGATCAGTGCCGAAATGGGGAAAAGGCCTGTGGATTTTAGTGGACTTCAAGTACCGTGGCATGGCTACTCCAGAAATGATCATTTGAACATATGTTAATAGAAATAGTAACAATTAAAAAAGTAAGATAAATTATTAAGCATTTTGAGATAAATATAATATTTTAATATTAACAGAAGTATCCAGAATTAGGCAGGATAAAGGCCCACCATCCTGTGCTTTGGTCAGAGCACATCTAGGGTATTATGTCTAGCATTCCATTTTAGAGAAAATATGGATAGGTGTGCATGTAGAGGAGGGGGAACAGACTAAGTATGAGATTTGAAACCTAGTCTGAAGTAACATTTAATCTGGCAAAGAGGCAGCTCACTGCAGGCCAGTGAGGTAGGTATGGCAGGTGTGTAATTCCCTGGAAAAGTTGTTTGTCTTGCCTGCTAGGTGCTTAACAGTTCAGGGCCAAGGAGGGATAATCCAGAAGTAAAGATTACGCAAATGTAATTTTTCTGTTACTACAGACTCTCCTCGGCATGGACACCAGGTAATGCTCTTGGTGAGCCATGAAGTGTATAAAAATGAAGCCACGTCTCATTTTTGTTGTTGCCCACCACCGACTGTCCGTGGTTTGTCTTGTTTTGGGGTGGGGGAGACAATGCCTGAGAAGTTATGGGAGAAAAAAAAGAGGAAACTAAGCCTATTTCCATACTGAAGAATTGGCACATAGAGTTAATTTTTATAACAAACAACTGTCTCCCTCTGATTGAGTGCTGCCTCACTGTGACATGGAGTTGACCCTCTATACGAGTGGAACCCAAGCTTCACTGATACAGAAAGCTTTCAGGCACGGGCTCTGAGTTGCAGGCTATATGTGTGTCACAGTTGAATTCAGACAGGCATTCAGCCACCAGAGTGGCTGCAGAGTGGGCTCTTTGAGGACCTCACCCTGAGTCAGAGAGAGTCCCAGAGGATACATTGGTATCTGGTACCAGTGTAGTCATACAAGGTCATTGAAGTAACTTCCTAGTGGCCATTTTGGAAAAGAAAATACACCAGGATCAAAATTTTCTTATAACAAAACTGATTAACTTAGAGGAAATGGATACTTAAACAAAATTTAAAATACCCAGATTGACAAACAAAAGAACTTCACTACTTAAATAATCCACTATCACAAAAATAATTTGGAAAAACCATGAATGAAATCCCAAAGAGAAAGATTCCAGGACAGATGGATTTAAAAATGAATTCTGTCAAACGTGCAAAAAACAGTATAAGGAAGACTATAAAAATAATAAGCCAGGTTGACAATACAAATAAAAGATCATAATTATAAACATGAGAAAACATAGAAATAGAGGGATCTTTTTTTTTCTTTTTTTGGCGAGGCAATTGGGGTTAAGTGTCTTGGCCAGGGTCACACAGCTAGTGAGTGTCAAGTGTCAGGTCTGAGACCAGTTTTGAGTTCTGGTCCTCCTGACTCCAGGGCCGGTGCTCTATCCACTGCACCACCTAGCAGCCCCAAGGGATCTTTTCTTAACATAGTAAGTATTTACTATGAAACCACGAGCAAGCATCGTGTGTAGTGGAGAAAAGTTAGAGGCCAGGAAGATCATGGATAAAGCAAGGATGCCCATCATCATCATTAATTGTTACTATAGACCTAGAAATAGTAGTTGCAGCAGTAAGACAACAAAAAAAAGAAATCAAGGGAACGAGTGTAGGCAAAGAGGACACGACATTATTTATGTAGAGGGTCTGATGGTTTTCTTAGAAAACCTGGAAGAGTCAGCTATGAAATCAGTTCAAACAGCTCACCAGAGTTACGGGATGTGAAATAAAGCTGCACATGTCATCAGTATTCCTACATATTCCTACATATTCCTACAAAACTCAGCAGTAAGAGCTAGAAGGATAAATTTCATTCAAAATATTTATAGAAGGTGTAAAATATTTGAGAGGTGTCTACCAAGACACCTCAGGAACTATATGGTTTTAACTACAAAAACACTTTTTTTTTTTGCAGAAATAAAGAATCTCAGGGAAAGTAATGGAAAAGGGCATGGAAAGGAGTCTAGCAGTACCAGATATTAAAATACAGATAATTCTTGCTTTGTGTAAATTTGCATTATGCATATTCAACTTTAGTAAAACAAATTCTGAAAGAAATCTACCTCCCAAAAACCACCTATGTTAACTTTACTGTGCTGTCTTTGTCTCTCTCCACTCCTGCCCCTTGGCTCTGTGGCCTCCCACCAAAAACAAAAATCCTCCCCTCCAAATGTAAGCATAGGTGCAGAAAGACCACCACTGCTAAGTCAGGGGCTGGGCTTGAGCCTCCAGTGCTAAGAGAGGAGACCTTTGCCCTTCTCCATCCGTGTGCGCCTGGGGACTGTGTGTCCATCCCCAGCGCTCCTGTCACCCTTCCTTTTCTGTCTTGTTTCCAGCCTCCGTGGATCTGCCCCAAAGCCAGACTCCCACATATCCTTGCACGCGTGCCAGCTTCCTTCCTGCCTGCCTCCTGCATGTCTGTGGGCAGATTCACGTTGCATAGAGGTCTATGGAACAGTCCATTTGTAAAAAGGAGAGCTGTCTGTATTGCAAAGCAGTAATCATTAAAGTGATCTGGTGCTGGTTAAAAAATAGTTCACTCATTGCAACGGCGTAGGTACACAGCATACAGGAGCAAACACAAGAGTGTTGAATAAATCTAAAGACGTCTTTGACAAAAACAACTGGGAAAACTAGAAAGCTCCCTGGCAAAAGTTAGGCGCAAATCAGCCCTTCTCACCATATACCCAGAGGCAGTCCAGGTGGATACAGGACTTAGAAAGAAAGGTCACATTGTAAGCAAATTCTGTGGGATAAAGGGAGATGCTCCCTTTCCTACCTGTGGATAGGGAAGGCGTTTGTAACCAAGTAAGGGGTAAATGGGATCACAGAAGAGAAAACGGACAATTTTGTAAGATTTTGCACCAACAAAATCAATGCAGTTAAAATTAGAGTGGAAACATGTAGCTAGAAAAAAAATCTTTGCAACATGTTTGGTCAAAGTCTCATTTTCAGGTCAGCCGGTTCACATTTATAAGACTTAAGAGCCATTCCCCAATAAAGAAGTGGTCAAAGGATACGTTGTTGAGCAGTTGCTTCAGTAGCATCCGACTCTTTGTGGCCTCATTTGAGGTTTTCTTGGCAGAGATATTGGAGTGGTTCACCGTTTCCTTCTCCTGCTCATTTGACAGATGAGAAAAGTAAAACAGACAGGGTTCAGTGACTTGCCCAGAGTCACACAGCTGATAAGTGTCTGAAGCTAGACTTAAACGCAGGAAGATGAGCCTTTCCGACTTGAGGCCTGGCGCTCTGTGCACCATGGCGCCCCCAGCTGCCCAGCAGCGGCAACAAAAATTCATAGCGCCTCATTTTATAGTAGCCCAAACCTGGAAACTAAAGGGGAACAAGTTATGACATCCGTAAGAAGTGATGAATTGGACAATTTTGAAGGAATCGGGGAATGTATTAACTGATGCAGAGTCAAGTGAGTAGAACTAGGAAAATGATGTATACGATAGCATGTTAAAGAGAAAACATTTGAAAGGCGGTAGGAATACAGTGATAGTCCAAGATTCCAGAGGACTAAAGATAAAACATGCTGCACCACATCCTGCCTGAGAAGGGATGCACTCAAATGCAGAATGACTCATACGCTTTTGGACGTGGCTTTTTTTAATTGTCCATTTTGGAAGGTTACAGTAGTGAAGGAAAGAGAGAGGGATGATAAATGCTCATTTTAAAATTTTCTCATGAAACCCCACTCTCACTGTCCGGAATTCAGTTTTGGAAACTAATAAATAGGATGCATTTATGTAACAGATCATGTTAGCTTTACCAATTTACCATGGTAGATTACCAACTTAAACTACCAAGTTTCAAATGTGGTCCTTATTTCTGACCATAGCATCGGCTTATGGCGAGGGGAGGCAGCCCTCAAGTGTGCCAGCTGGCAAAGAAGGTCAGCCTGGGATTCAAGTTTTTTGATGTTTCCTTGGCCCACACACACAACTGAGGCTTGACCATGATGACAGTAGTTTTGATGGGTTTGTGTCTATATATATGAAAAGTAGCCAGGACTTCAAAATTGTTGTCTCCTTACAGCTCATGTCCCTGATGCCCAAAATGCATCTGCTTTTCCCTTTGACACTGGTGAGGTCGTTCTGGAGCGACATGATGGACTCGGCACAGAGCTTCATAACCTCTTCCTGGACTTTCTATCTTCAGGCTGATGATGGGAAAATTGTCATCTTTCAGGTGAGAGTATGACTCTAGACTGACCCTGTCATGCCTTCAGTAAGTTGCAGGTGCTTGTTTAAGAATCATAAGTGCTTAGTGCAAGAAGGGACCTTTGAGGTCAGCGGATTCCCTGGAGTAATCCTCTGTGCCCCTTTCCCTGGGATTCAGCATGAAATGATCTCAAAGTGACTTCCTATTGAATAGCCCCGAATAGTTTTACGTGTCTGCCTGTGTGATAGTGGTTTTGATCGAGTAAAATCATAGCTGCTTCAATTTGAGGTTCTTTCGATATAAACAGCTTAATTCTTACCTCACCTAATAATAATAGGACAATGGAGCATAGAAACCTAAGATAAGATACGTAATTATTTGATTTGATTTGGACTTGGATAAGAAATTCATAGAAAGGGCTTAACTTTGCATTTCATTATTTCAGGCAACGTTGTAGACAAGTAACCTTCGATGACCAGTATATCTGTAAATAATAGGATAAATGAAGTGAACGTTTTATCATTATTATTATTGTTATTATTATTACTATTATTATTATGAGGGGCTGATTGTAAGATTGATATGGATATTTTGTTCCAATCTAGGTTTTGTTGTTCCTTCTATTCTTTTAATTTGGAAATTGTAGATTAGTAATAGAACATATTCTTACAATTTCAGTAAAAGGTCTGCAATGTAAGGGTGTCAGGCAGCAGCTGTACTTGCTTTCCTGTAGATGTTCCCACCACCTGTTTGGGGCCCAGGTCTGTGTCGATTGTGGTATAGGTTAGCTGACCCAGCCACTAATAATGAGGTGCCACAATATGGAAAAGACTTTGGAGATTGTCTGGTCACCCACTGTGGTTTCACAGGTGCAATAAAGCCAAGATCCCCGTGGTCGGAAGGAGTAGATGCAGAATTGGAATGCAGCTCTGTTCTCTGGCTCCATGCCTACACTCTTCCCACTGAGCCCTAGGAAGGGCATCAATGCGGCAAGAGCCGCAAGAAGCAGCAGGCCTGCTCACCATTCACTCAGCCGTGAAAACAGGCCAGCGTGGCTGGTGCTGTGATGCTCTGACTGTGTGAAATTGAATGTGGTTCACCGTGATTTACCCCAGACCAGTGATAGCTCCATCACGGCCACTGTGATTTACCCCAGACCAGTGGTAGCTCCATCACGGCCACCGTGATTTACCCCAGACCAGTGATAGCTCCATCACGGCCACCGTGATTTACCCCAGACTAGTGATAGCTCCATCACGGCCACCGTGATTACCCCAGGCTAGTGATAGCTCCATCACGGCCACCGTGATTTACCCCAGGCTAGTGATAGCTCCATCACGGCCACCGTGATTTACCCCAGCCTAGTGATAGCTCCATCACGGCCACCGTGATTTACCCCAGGCTAGTGGCAGCACCGTCCTGGTCTCTCTTTGGGGAGCAGCTGGCTGGGGGCTTCAGCGAGGGTGAGGGTCATGGCTGGAGTATTTCCATTTCTGAGTTGTCCATGGTCCCATTGTGCTAGTGACGGTTTTTAGGCACAGCCAGAGCTCCCTTGGTCCTCAGGCTGCTCACCAGCCCTTTGATTCTCTTTCAGTCGAAACCAGAAATTCAGTATCCAGCTCAGGTGGATCGGGATCATTCTGCACATGGGAAAAATGCACCTTTAAAGAAAATGGCCTGTAAGTTTTATTTCAAGACTGGCGTAAAAGCCTTGATAATCGATTATCTACTGTAGATAATGTGCCTTAAAGGAGGAGTAAGGCCCAAATCTTGCCCATTGTGTCTAAGCTGGGCTTTCACAACTTCCCAGCAAGGGCTGAAGGTAAACCCGTGACCTTGACACTAGATCAAAGCTTCCGGGCTTGCCTCCTTCCCTGCTGTGTGCTGAGAAATCAGTCTGAATTGCCAGAGTTCACTTTTATCCACATTTGCTGGTTCTTAGCTTCTCTAGAGCAAAAACACAGTGTCTTAACTCCACATTTTCCCCTGGAATGGGGAGGCTGGGTGGGGGGGTGGGGGGTGCTTTCTTCCTCAGGTTCTCATAGGCTCCAGGCAACCAGAATGCCCCTCCTGCAGCAGATGAGGCAGCACGCCGTGGTGCTTCAGTAATACGGAATCGGCTGCTGCGTTTGGGTTCTCATCTGCTGGAGATATATTAGTTCCTCAGAAGGTGTTCATATTGTCCCATTTGCTCATACGTGCACACTGGGGGCCTTTGGGAAGAGGTTTCTGCAGGTGCATGTCAAAGGAACCTCAGAGGCCCTTTACCCTAGCCCTTCATTTTAGGTGAGGAAAGTGAGGCCACACAGCAAGCCAGCGACAGAGCTGGTAGCCAGGCCCAAATCCGGCTTCTCAGGCTTGTGAATGTTGGTAAATTATGGAGTCTGATCTGACTTATGCCTTGATGTTTCAGCAAATCCACAGCCAGCAGGCTCTCAGGCCCACAGAGGCTATTTTGAAGACGGAGAAAGCGACAGCTTTTTTAAATGCCTCTCTCTGTATGTATTTCTGATTTATTTATCTTTCTAGAGACATGCTGTGCTTTGGGTCTGAGGGATGTTCATTGTTAAGCAGTTTTAACAGTCAAGCCATTTCTCTATGTTTCCCTGTATTTCCTGGGTTGTTTTGGTTTCTTTAAAAGCTAATATACTAAAAAGGCCAAGAAAATAGCGTTTCCCCATCACCAAAGGGTTTGTCATTTGACAGGCTTCCCCAGAGGATTTCTTTTAAGCAGTAATGCTCACCACTTTTAAGACAATTTAATTAGTTATACCTATACACTTCAACTGCCTCACTTTTTTCCTGCAGTAGTGCTGCTGAATTCCACCAGCATAATGTAAATTTCTTCACTGTGTAAAATGATTTCTTTCCTTGGAAACAACTGAATGCCCTGTCCACTAAGCAGCCCACCCCCGCCTTTACCTTTCTTCTCAGGCTCCACGTAACTGTGACTCTCAGCACAGTTCATTATGAGACAACATTCTCCTGGGCTGTCAGTCAGCAGGTAGTGAGTAAGCCCAGCCCACGGGTGGGCACTGAAGATCTGAGGACGAAGAGCGAGGTAGTCCTTACGCGACACGCACTTACATTCTGAGCCTCAGGGGCAGTGACCAGGAAAGGAGCCACGGCTCGGCCTGGGCCCCCGCCTCTCATCCCCCCGAGGCTGCAGCGCCTCCTGGGCAGACTGGCAGCCAGGCTCGGTCTGCTCGTGGCTAGGAAGAGTCAGCCCTCTGGGTCTGGGGTTCTCATGTGCTTCCCCTGCTGTCTGTCAGGAACTCTGGCTGGATTGTGACCATCACCCTCGTGCTCTCGGTGCTGGTGTTACTCTGGATCTGCTGTGCCACTGTTGCCACGGCGATGGAGCAGTACGTCCCACCAGAGGTGAGTGGGAGGCGAGGAGGCACCTGAGCTTTGTCACCAAATGCCCAGGGCCGTCTGCCTGGAGAAAAAGTGTGCTCCCCACCTGCCCCCCTGGCTCTCCAGACTGTCCTCTGAGGTGGCCCCTGGAAGAGTGATAGGGGATGTTCAGAAGCAACAGGCTGCCTCAGACATCCGGCCCAGACAAAAGTCCCAGGTCCCAGCTGATGGGCGATTTTTGTCTCTCTTAGGGAACGGTGGGTGTGGTTGTAGGCGAGGGGAGACTGAGGAGGGCAGCAGCAAGCTGTGAGGTTCTGGTCCTGGGCAGGTGGCAGAGAGCCCAATTGTCTGGGTCCTCTATAGTTTTATGCACAGCTGAGGCACGGCTAGTTCACTAGGCTGTGTTCAGGGGCCAGGCAGGCAGGCCATCCAGTTCAGCACAAGAGAAAGGACAAGAGGAGGATAGCCTGTGTATGCAAAGGCCTGGAGGTGGGAGATGAATTGTCACCTATAGGAATAGCAGCCAGGCTGAGAAGCTAGAATTTGGGATGTGCAGTAACGTGCAGCTGGCCTGAAATGGGAAGTAGGCTGGGAGGGGCTGTAAATGCCCAGGGGCTTTTATTTGTTCCTAGGGGCAGGAGGGGGCAACTGGCATTTCTTGGCAAGGTCAGCGTTTGTCCTGTGCTTTAGAAGTAGATTGGAGAGAGGAGGCTCTGGACAATTAGGAAGGTCCAGGCCAGGGGAGATGAGAGGAGGAGCTGGATGGAAGAGGCCGGAGGGGCTGGACTTTGGAAAGACTTGGCAGCCAGCTGTGTGAAGCATCGCAGAAATGAAAGTCCAAGATGTCTCCAGGTTTGGAAGCTGGCAAGGACAGGCCAGAGAGGAGGAAGATTCAGACAGACGGGACTGTCTGAGAGAAAGGGCTTATCCCAGCCTAGAGGGGGAGCTAGCCGCCTGCTCACCAGTCAGTTTGTGCTTCTCCCAAGAATGAGGGGTGCCTGTTCAGGCAGCGCAGCCATGATGGATGGTTCTTACTTCATTTGCTACAAAAATATCCAAAAATTTATTGCTGAAAACATTCAGGTTTCTTGGCCCAGAGCCATTTATTTCAGGTGCTGTTGTTCCATTAAACCCTTTCCTTCTGTTTTCCTCTTGGAGCCTGAGCATGAGATAGTCCTGACTTCTCCGCAGGGTCTGGGTGCCTTGGACAAGTTGTCCTGAAGTAGAGGCTTTTTTGCATAATTTACACATAATTTACACATGCCATCTTGTTGGTTTAATAGAGAACCTAAGCCTCGGTGGGGAGAGCAAGTTTCTCTGTTCCATGTAAGACCTAGAACGTGGACACCAAGTGCAGAGGAGGAGTGGGGCTTTCCCCTCCTCGTCCAAGAAGGCCCAAGGCATTTTTAGCACATTTTCCTCCTGGGGGTTTGCCGACGGCGTCTTCCCCGTGATATGTAAGATGTGGTTAAGTTCCTCTGCTTGGTGGTGAGAGCTGCAGACCCTGCCCCATGGAGCTTTTGCTCTAGAAGGGGGATAAGCTGGGCCTAGAGAACAATGATTACCAGGAGAGAGACAAACAGGAGGACGGAGCTTATAGAGTACACCCAGGTCCGGGATCCCCAAAGGAAAGAAGCTGGCAGCTCGGAAGGCAGGCCAGGGCGGCCCGGGTCAGCCCCTCCCCAGACAGCGCCCCCAGCACCAGCTCTTGTCATCTCGGTGGTCCTTTAAGAATGATTCTCCCCAGTTTGCAGGTGTAGCGGGGGAGAGCTCTGTCCAAGAGGGGAGAGCAGAATCAAGGGGACTCTCCAGTTTGGGACCTCCCTAGGAAGCACAGGCCTAAAACAGGTCATTTTAGCAAACCCCCTGCCTAGGTGCCTCGCCCAGGATCCGGGGAGAAGCCCTGGCAGTAGCTGCACCCCCAGGCATTGACAGGAGCCGGAGTAGAGCTGTCTGAGGGCATTTGCACTGCACAAACACTGGTGTGTTTGCAGCGGCTTGTTGCTGAACCAGATCTTTTTCTCTTTCTTGCCTCCTCATGGGAAGAAGCTCTGTAGCTGAGCTGTTCAGTAAACAACACATGTCCCAAGAGGCCATCATGAACAGTTCGCACTCCCTACCCCCTCCTCTTCTGGGAAGGCAGAGGCAGGATCAAGATGGCTGCTCAAGCCTTGGTCGTTGGGCTGAGGACTGAGCAGCTTTCATCAGCAGCTTCCCCAGCTAGGTTCCTACGCCCTAGCCTTAGGCGCTGAGTGATTGTCTACATTTGTCCTTCCTTCTGACCACATCCCTCCCATATAATTCGTGTTTGTGCCTCTGTGAGGGAGGGGCCGTGGGAAAGGCTTCCTGGCCACAGCAGCAGTGGCTTTGTGGTCCACGTCCTTGCGTTCTCCCAGCTTGCCTGATTTTTGACTTAACATTTTTGCCTTCACCTGCCTCCTGGGATTGTCGGCCTGGCTTTGGCCCAAATGTGGTCATGAGCCTATCTTCCATACACGCAATGGCAGGTCTGGGCATTGTCCCCAGTAATGCTAGGCTGGCTTCCACCCCACCTCCATAATCCATCCTCCAGAGAGGGCAGAAGACGGAGATTCAGGGGAACCTGATGGGGAGGAAGGTGTTTGAGGCAGGCCCTTAGCGGGTATATTGCATCTCCACAGAAGTGCGCATTGGCCACCGGCCGCATTGTCACCATTTCTTGAGGGGACCTGGAGTCATGGAAAGAGCCTTGGACTTAGGGGACACTTGCTTTGACTCCCTAGAAGGAGCTCTGTGACAGTGTCCTCATCTGTAAAATGGGAATCATTTGCACTGTCTCACAAGGTGGCTGTAAGGGAAATGTGTTTGGAATAGGAGCTGACATCATGTTCGTTGTTGTCCTTCCTTCCCCATTGCAGATTGAAGCTCCTTTTTGTCTGGCAGGCAATCTTGGTGACTGCAGCCACCCTGCTGATGAGACTTTCTGAATCTAGCCAGGCTGCTTCTTGGACTGCTGGTTGTCTCCAGGGCCAGCCCCATGCTACCTTCCGCACATAGCTTCTGAGGAACGGGCATGAGTAATAAGGCAGATATTGGTTGAATTGGGTTTTTACTGCAAAGTGGAGAAGTTAGCATTATTGTCAATAATTTTAACAGCTTGAAGTAGGTCAGCAAGCATTTATGAAGTGCTTACCAGGTTTCAGGTGTGAGCACTGAAGGATACACCTGGCAGCTAGGTGGTACAGTGTATAGCATGCCAAGCCTAGAGTCTGGGCAATCGGAATTCAGATCTAATAGTTACTGTAACCATGGTCAAGTCGCTTAACTGCTGTTTGCCTCATTTTCCTCATCTATAAAATGGGGGTAATAATACCACCTACCTCCCAAGGTTGTCTTGAGGACTGAATGAGATAATATTTGTAGTGCCTGAACCATCAAGTACGTATCTAAGTCCAAAAAGAATAAAGATAATAAATACAAAGTAGTGGGGGAGGAATCAGAAGCATCATGTCAAAGGGGATGCTTGAACTGTCTCTTGAAGGAATAGGGGAATAGAGGCAGAGGCGATCTGGGCAGGGGGCAATGGAGGGGCCAGTCTGGTTGGGTCAGAGAGGGCGGAGGGGAGTGGGCTACGGGGAAGCCGGGAGGTGAGACTGGGGCCAGATTGGAAGAGGCTTTAACAGGAGAGTTTCTACACGCCTCCACAGTCTGCATAGGGGAATGCGGGCTTTGGTGTCTGTGGGGAAGAGCTGTGAGGCAGGGAGGCCAGCCAGGAGGCAGTGACTAGCCTGGGAGGGAATGAGGGCTTGAACTAAGGCAGTGGCTGTGTAAGGAGAGGCATTGGGGGGAGGGATGGCGTGCAGGTAGGAGTGGCAGTCTGGAAGCTGAGGGGATGGCCTAACCACCTAACTTCTCCTTTGCCTTACATTGTATTACCTGGCCGTCTCTCCACCTTAATCAGGGAAGGGAGAAGAAGCATTTGTGTAGCGCCTACTGTGTGCCAGGCACCATGCGCAGGGCTTTTTATAAATGTCTCATTTGATCCTCAACAGTCCTGTGAGGTCGGTACTGATGGCATCCCCGTTTTACAGTTGAGGAAGCTGAGGCTAACAGGTGAAGTGACTTGCCTAGGGTCACCCAGGTAGGAAGTATCTGAGGCAAGATTTGCACTCCCGACTCCAGGCCAAGGGCTCTGGGCACTGTGCTGTCTAGCTGCTGACCACACCCTTAAACTTTCCTCCTCTCCTGCTTTTCTCAGTCAGACTTTTAGGACGGAAAAACCTATCCCTATATCCTTTTCAGTCCTCTGTAGGCTGGCCTAACTTCTCTCTCTAGAGTTGCCAGACTTTTCTTCATTGTCAGATCTAATGGTCCTTTTTCGGATCTTATTCTTCTCAACCTACCGGCTACATTTGACCCTCTTGGCCATCTGTGGGAATTAATAAGGTCACTGAGGATGGCAGTGAGGGAGAGAAAGAGAAGGGAAGAGAGCCTAGGACAGAACTGCTAGGAATAACCACTGTTAGGTGCCTTGATACAGACGCTGAACTAGTTAAGAAACCTGAGGGACAGGCAGGCAGGCAGGATGATCAAGGGAGAAGTGTGGTGTCAGATGCAGAAGGAGGACTGAAAAGACCAGCAGGTTTGCCAGGTAGGGTGTGACTGGCAGCTTTGGAGAGGGCAGTTCCAGTTAAGGGAGGAGGCAGGGAGGCATTTGGCTGAGAGAGAGAGAAGAGCTTGAAGGGCTGACATGGGTTCTGGGGAAGCTTTGGGCATGGCTGAAGGTAGTAGGCGAAGAAGCCATCGATGGGGAGAGGAGGAAGAGGAGAGTGGGATGATGGAGGTGATGGTCAGCTAGGGAAGGGAGGGATGATGAGGTCAAGAGCACAGAGCTAAGGCATGGCCTTGATAAGGATGAACAGGTGGGCAGGGGGGGGAAGTGAGCTCCTTAGCTGGGGAGAGGGAGAGAGCACAGTTGCAGAAGTGGAATTGAGGAGTGAGGTGTAAGGGACGGAGGGATGAAGATGAGAGGCCAAGGGGAAGTGGGCAAGAGACGTTTGGTGAATAAGGAAAACAGAGAGAGAGAGGAACAGATGGTTGGAGAGGTCTCTCAGTCTCAAAAGCTTACAAAGTGCCTGTGTGGAGGACACTCATTGCCTAGTTACTGCGTGTTCATTCTGTGAAACTCAGGGCACAGGGTTCTTTGTCCTTCCAAGAATTCCAGAGCATCTCGAACAGCTTTTTTGTTTGTTTGTTTTACTTTAATAAAAATTCAGGGTTTTTAATGCAAAAGTTTTCTTTTTACTCTTCCATAAATCTGCTACAGAGCAGCCAACAATGATTATTAAGAATAAAAATGAGGAAGTGAGATGCCTTGTAGTAATGGTATGACTGTTCATCTGTTCAGGTATTCCACGTTGCTTTTACATTCCTTGAATTGATTGAATCATCTTAGACATTAGAGCTCATCTGGTCCCAGCAGGGCTGCAGCCAAGGTCTCCTGACTGTTGGGCTCCTGCTCTCTCTTTATTCCACTCTGCTTCATCACAAGCAAAGCAAAAGCTTTTGTAGCCTCTGTGTGATTCAGGACGGCCTTCCTTCCTTCCTTGTCTGATACGCTCTGCCACCGCCCCCCGCTCCCCTCCATAGCATTAGAGCCAAGGAAAAAAGCCAGCAGAACTTGGAAAGAAGATGGGACCATGAGGGCCCTGAATGGGCACGGGAAGGGCGCAGAATGAGAATTGTCTTTAGCTTGTTGGCTTTTTCATTCGTTTGGTTCCTCCTGAAGGCTCAGGGTAGAATTCTGCCACCTGTTCTGTGTGTTGTTAATGAAATATTTGAGCCAAGACCAGAGTGTAGATTTCTTAACTTGGATCTGGTGCCCTCCCCCAGATCCCCTTTGTGACAGAGAAAAATGAGTTTGGTAATAGAGTAATGGTGACATCGTTCTAGCCATCGCCACCACCAGTGTTGACTGAGCTTTTGGAAGGCTCTCTGTACGGCCTTCTGATTCATCTGATATTCTAGTGAGATACTGCTAGGTTTTGATTAGTACAAATAATGAATCTCTTCATTCGAATTCACACTGAATGTTTCCATTGGGCTGGAACCAATTAACTTAGTTTACATAATTATAACTTCCAGTAGTGAGAATTTGAATAGATGCAACCACTTCATTGGATTCCTATTGGAGCTAGCTCTAAAGGGGTGAGAGGGAAGGGGGCCCACCCCATCTTCGGTTCACAGCTGGGCTGACTGTAGTGACATCCCTACGGAATGAAAACTTGTTCAGTGAGCCTGGAGTGGTGCTCGGGCTTTTGGATTCCTAGACCTAAGTGCCCTGACTTCAGGTGTCTAGAAATCCTATAACTGTCCTCCTAACAGTAGAGGTTCCTCTCGGGGGGAGCTCGCTCCACTGCTTGGAAGGCGGGCTCAGTGTTGCTCTGCCCAGCCAGGGAGGGGGCCCCACCTGCCCGGGCAGCACAGTCTTAAAATGCCTCGGTTCATTTCAGAAGCTGAGCATCTATGGAGACCTGGAGTTTATGAACGGACAGAAGCTTCCCAAGTGCCCGCCCTCCTCCCTCGTGGCGCTTCGATGCCAGGCTGAGGAGCCTGAAGAAGCCGGGCCTCTCCCTGCCAAAATGAATCTTGCTCATTCAGAAATCTAACATTTTTTAAAGAAAAATTAATTTAATAGACATTCTAACTTTCCGTTCCTGATGTGGCTTTTTTTATTGGTTTCTTTGGATATGGGGCTTAGGAAATTAGCTATCAAATGCAAATAAAGTTAGTGATCTGGGACGGTGGTATTGTCTGTCACTTCACATGTATTCTCTATTGATTGGAGAGAGATAGACATCTGGGATCTCACGTCTTACTATCTGTAACTGCTTTTCATTGATGTTTGCAATGTGCTTTTATTTCTTCCTTGACTAAATTCTGTAAGCATGTCCTCTTGCCCTCAAACCTTCTCCCATGATCCTGGCAATCACCCTAATTAATAGAAGGTATGTGATAGGATATAATGTCGATGTTCAGAAATGGCTCCATAAACATGTGATTGGAAATTGGAAGTCAGCATGAGGAGCCTTTCTGAGGCCCTTAATTTTCAGTTGTAGTGAGCTGATGTCATTAAAGTTTTATTTGTATCACTCTGCATAAATGTTGTGTTAATACATTACAGACTCCCAATGTTTTCCAGGGTTAAAAGAAATATTTTGTCTGTCTCTGTCACAGTAGTATCTGAATAACATGAAAGGAGGCTGCCGTAAGCCTGGGATAACAAGGCAGTGGTTTAAACCTACCCACTTCGATTGGAATGGGGAGTTTTCCAAAGAACCATTTTCTAGTTGTAAAAGGCCTATCGAGTGTATAGAGTTTGTGCTGGGAGGGACCCCCTTTCAGAGGTGAAAAGGAGAGACTTGCTCCAGGCCATCTCTTTTCTGGAAGTTTGGTCCTTGGGTAGTATTGACTGCAACAGCTGACAGGCACCATCGTTCAGGAGGGACTGCATGGCAAGAATTGGCCGAGACTCCTGGGGAAAAGGTACCTCTAGTGCTTCTTGCCATGTTGACTGACTTTGCCTCAGGGCCTCAGATCCTGGCCAAGAGGGGTCATCCTCCCATCTTGCAGCCTGGGGCCAGTTTTCAGACATTGAATTTGGCACTATAAAGTGCTAACTAAGCATGCTAGGTTTCAGGCAATTACAAATTAGAGGCTTGTGATTTAGAAGAAGCTGCTCTGTCCTGCTCACTCAATCAGAAAGCAGTGTGGACAATGCGTCCTAGGGAAGGAGTTGTCCAGGCTTTGGTGGGTTATAAGTGGTGAAGAGCTTACAGAAAGGGACTCAAGAGCTCTTTGAATCTGTTCCCCACCCCTTCTCACCCTGCCTGGGGCAGGGAATAGCCCCAAGAGAAGGGACCTCCCCATAATCGCCCTGGGCCCAGGGGCCAATCCCACATCCAGTTGTGTACAGATTTATTTTCGAGCCTCAGCCTAAATCATGCAGGAGGCTAATTGAAAAACGTTTTGTGACTCAAAACTTAAGGCCAAGGGTATCAGAGGCAATTTTTTTTCTATACAGTTATATCTCAGTTCCTCTTGACGCTCATAAAATCTTAGTATTCAGAGACACATAGATAGAAGTTGTGTGACCCATTGTCTACATGCAGATAGTTTCTTAGCTATACCAGGCCAGAGAGTTAAGAAACTTGGGACCTGTCGGAGTAACTTCTGTCTTTTATTCCCACCTGGTCACTCTTCGTCTGGGTTTCAAGGATGCTAATGAATGTGTTTATTTTCCATGACTCTCGCATTGATGACATCAGTGTAGCTTGTCCTCCATCTCTCTCTCACTCTTTCCACCTCCTAGAACCCTGGTCATTGTTCTGAGCTGAAGTGAAGTTTTGTTCCAACTTCACCATCAAAATTTTCTTCACAAGGCAGATCTAGTGCAGCCTCTTACAACCCCCCATCCCACCTCTTCACACTGCTTCCCACATGGGGCGGGAGGCGGTGGGCAGGCAAGTTCCTGGGCTCACCAGGTAGCCTATCCAATGCCATTCTTCCAGAAAATTTCATTCTTTTGGCCAAACTAATTCCTCTCTGTTGAGCAGGCATTTGTTATGTGAAGGATAATATTTGAACTTAATTCTTCATAATTTGAGAAGAGCAGTTTTCTGTTTTATATCTATCCTTCAGCTATGCCATCTATTAAAGTGTCTAGTACAGATGAAGGCCCAGCTCTCTGGTGGAGTCAGTGCAGATGTTAGCATATGCAGCATCACTTGTCCGTGGTGACAAATGGGAACACATAAGCTGTAAGGAGGAGAACCCTGAATTGAGCAAACATCTCTTTACTTCCATATCCAAAGACCACTCGAAACCCCTAGAAATTATCAAGTTAATAGTTAGACTTGAACTCATCCATTTTTGACTTTAGGATGTTTCTTAAGGGTCCTTGCAGAGAATAGCTAATCTTTTTGGATACTTGTATCTAGGATAGTAGGCCGTAGGCAAAATAGAGAGGTTAGGGTCCTTCTAGTCTTCTCAGTTCTGGTTTTAACTCTGTAGTAGAGATGTTCCCGAGGTGCTCGGTGCTTCCCCCTAGCCCGCACCTTTTTACAAAGCTGACTGTCAGGAAAACCTGAAACTCAGACTCAGCTAAAGAAACATCAGAAGAGGGTCCCTCTGGGGAAAGTATTTGATTTTCAGCAGAGGTCCAAGACTTTAAGCTAATTCGTTTAGGGAACCAGCCAACAGGTTGAGAGAGCTGTTAGGGGTTGTGAGGCAGAGGGAAAGCAGAGGAGTACAGCTGGGCCCTCCCAGTACAAAAATGTTCATTTTAAGTAGATAATCTAGCTTTTGCTTACTGCAGCGATTTTTAAAAAATGGTTTCTTGGACAAGAGGTCTCCCAGTACTGCCTAGACATGGTGTTTCCTAGGTCTGGTTGAATGGATCCAGATCTGCTTGGATTCTAGTAACTGAGAAAAAGTTGTTTGGAGGCTCTGGTCCATGTTGTTCAATAGTATAATTTAATGTTGGGATCATATAACTATATAAATCATTGAATGCTGAGAATCTGTGTTATTGTTGCCATAATGATTTACTATGTATTTATATTTTTTTGTGTGGAAATATATTTGTATTAAACTCGAACTCCTCAGAGGCAATGGAGCTGGAAAGGACCTGAACAGATAATCTAGCCCACCCCACCATGTTACCCAGGTTTTCATAAAAAACCAAGGCCCAGAGGGGAAAAGTAGCCTGCCGCTTCCTCCTACAGCATGTAGCAAAACTGGGATTCTAAACAGTTCTGTCATTTCTAATGCAGTGTCCTTTCTGTCATGTTACAGATTGGACTGAGAAAGCTTTAAAAAGCAACACTAACCTTGAGGGTTTTTGCTTTGTCCCAAGAATCACTCTAAACTCAAGGAAGGAAGCTCTAAGGGTAGAATTTGAGAGGTTTACCGAATACGGTGTTAAAAACTTGGATTTGAAAGAGTAAGTGCAGATTTCTGTTCTTTGGCTTTTTCCACTATGTTTTGTATTACGCCTCAAGTCTGAAGGTCTTTTAGGAGCCATCTAAACCTTTGAGCTGGAGCTCTGGGTCCCTGTATTTTGTCTTTGTTTTTCCTTTGCTCCCGATGGTGGTAACAGTTTCACTCTGAGACAAGGGTTGGTAAGGAACAAGACCCGTTTAGCCTGGAGAAGAGAAAACTTCCATACCTTCAGGTGTTTGAAAGTCTCTCTCTCAAGAGCAAGGAGAACCAGTGTTGTTTCCCTGGCTTCAGAGGCCAGAACTAAGACCAGAGGAGAGATCTGCAAGAGATTTACCAGCCCTGCTTACCTGCAAGGGAAGGTACCATAGAGAGGGAGAGAGGGTCGGGGGGAGGGTGAATAAGCCTTGTCTGTCAGAACAGTGCATCAGTAATTTTAAAAAGAGAAAGAGGCAGAATGACTCTCCATGTTAGCAAAAACTCCCTAACCGTTAGAGCCATCCCAGTGAAAAACAGGGGATGTCTTAGGAGAGTCTGGGTGCCCCACTTTGTCCAGGATTCCTGTTTTAGTACAGGTTCCCCTAAATGTTCTGAGGTCCCTTCTAGTTCCTGAGAGTCTGTGATTCTAGACTTAACAGGTTTCCTTCTCTTGTCATGGTAAACAACATTTCTGTTCAGTTCTATTCTGAATGATTTGGGTTAATTTTTACTGCCTCTTGTTCTGTGTTTCTAGTGTTGGAATTGTTTTGAAATGGTGGAATGAAAATAATGGAAGGTTTGGATGGGAGGGAAATCAACAACTGATTGAGAAAAAGATGCTTCGACAGGATTGTTACCTTGAAATAAATCACCTGCAGTCTCTGTTAGAGGCCAAGGAATGTTAATTTCCCAATTCTTAAGTATGATGGACCTAAATAAAATTTGGATTGCCTGCATCAGACTTGTTATATTGTGATGTTAACCTCTAAAAGTGATTCTCTACACTCCTTGGAGCCACCTGGGCTCTCTGTCTTCCCTGTCAGATGAGAGGATTGGACCACATGATCTCCAGACTCCTGTCGGACTCTTAGTTCCTTTAGTCAACAAACATAAGACTTTAGCTCATTGCGAGATTAATATATGTGAGTCAAGATTGTGACATGGCATCCGGGAAGATGATTAATGCAGTGGAAAAAGGAATAGCCCATTGAACAAGGGAAATGGCAGTCCCGCTGCCCTCTATCCTGGTCAGAACACCACGAGGGTCTCAGTGAGTTCTAGGTGCCACCAGCCAGGACAGCGAAAGGCCACAAGGGTATCTTGGAGAGGATCGGCTGGAGAAACTAGAAGTGAAAAGGGGAGACAAGACAGGAGGGTGCAGTTGGGGAGAGTGCGTGGCCTCATGACAGCTTTAATCATTGGAAGGGCTGTCATGTGGAAGGAGGGACAGACTTGGTTAATGTATCCCCAAAGGGAGCTACAAGGAAAAATAGGTAGAAGAGGCAAATGTAGGTTTGACCTTGGGAAAACATCCTGCTTTGGGCAGTCATAGGATCCTACATTCAGAGCTGCAAAGGGGCTTGAAGGGCATCTAATTCAGCCCCCTCCCCCAGACAGCTTAAGCACGTCGAGCAAGGTCACACCAGCTGAAAGGATTTGAGGCCCAAGATCTTCAGACTCCAAAGCCAGGGATCCTTGGACTGGCCTGGAAGGAAAGGCCATCATTCATTTGGATGCCAATTTACTAAATGCTTTCACATCCACCATTTACAGATAATAAAGCTGGGCCAAGAGGGATGGCTCATCTACTGAATGATGGAATCAGGATTTTTAAAAAATACTGACATTAGAAAACTAACAAGATAAAGTTGAAGAGGGGTAAATAAATGTAGTCTCAAACAGGTTCGAGAATCAGTTTCATAGGGGCAGCTAGGTGGCGCAGTGGATAGAGCACGGGCCCTGAAGTCAGGAGGACCTGAGTTCAAATCTGGCCTCCGGCCAAACACTTGATACTTATTAGCTGTGTGACCCTGGGCAAGTCACTTAACCCCAATTGCCTAAAAAAAAAAAAAATCCGTTTCACAAGTACAAGGCAGAAGCATGGCTAAACAACAGCTTGTTTAAAAAAAAAGATTTCCTGAATCTTAGAAGCTACAAGCCCACCACGGCCTCGAGGAAGGCTAACGCCACATTAGGCTGTGTTAAGAGCAGTGGGCGTTGCCCCTGCGCCTAGGCAGTGATTCAGTCTTGCTGTGGCCCTGGTTAGACAGTGTTTGGAGTACTCTGTTCAGATCTTAGGGACGCGTGATTGTCTGGTTGTTGGATCTGTTGACCAGAGGAGGATAACCAGGATGATGGGGGGTCTTGGTTTGCTTGCTTCTATGTGAAAGTTAGGTTGAAGGAACTGAGATTATCCAGTGGGAGAAGAGAAAACAGGGAGTGGACACATCAGCTGTCTTCCAACTATTTTAAAACATATCATGTAAAAGACAGATTAGGTTTAAGCTCAGCATTGGTTAAATGCCTCCTCATTGCAAGCCCCTCCCCACATTCCACGAGCTCCGTTCTGCTGGAGGGATACTGCACGTGGCCAGGTAATTGCCGGGAGAGAGCTCTGAGGACGATGAGGTGGTTTGGGGGGGGGATGGAATCAGAAAAGGCCTTCATGGACTCTGCTTCAAAGGAAGCCAGGCTTTCTAAGAGGTAGCAGTGGAGAAGGAGGGCCTGCCAGATGTGGAAGACCACTCGTGGGAAGGCACAGGTGGGAGTGCAGAAGGGAAGGCGATAACGAACGAAAGCCAAGGAGAGCAATAAGGGGAATTGCTGAAGATTTCTGTGGGTGATACGGTTAGGTCTATGTCAGGAACGTCATTCTTGGCATCTCTGAAAGACAGATGGCAGAAAGGAGAAACTAGAGGCAGAGTGACTCCTTCTGTTTGGCTGGGCGGCAAAGAAGTAAACTTAGTGTGAAGAAAACCTGCTTAAACCAGTAAAAGCAGAGAATACCCCTGCCCCCACTGCAGATCTTTAGACAAGGTCGTATCAGGGCTTCCTGTTGAGGTTGGATCGATGGCCTTTGAAAACAAGGTTCCAAGCAGAATCACTTTATTAGTTAGGCTAGCAGTAACCAATCGGTTGGGTCAATGGCCAGAGACGTTGATGGAGGTCTGACAGGATCTTTTATGACAAGCAAGATGACCAGGCAAACCTAAGTGTCACTTCTGATGGGCTGTCAGTGACGTAGTCAGAAATGAGATTGCATCATTTGGACCTCTCCTTCTGCAGCCCCCTTAACCACAGCCAAGACGTGATTCAGGGTTCCCGGGTGTTGGCAGTTGCTACAGTAGGTTGTATGGATGAGATTTGACCTTTGAGGTTAATTAAGTTTCTCTGGAAAGTGGGTAGTGGGGAGGGGTTACAAAAGCTTGTGGGTGGTAGGTGAAGTTTAAAAGGGGAGGGAACGTCCTTGGAAAGGGAATTTTAAATCTAGTTTGATTAAGTCTTAGATTTTATGCCTCTGTACCACCTCACACCTATCAGATTAGCTAACGTGACAAAACAGGAAAATGGTAAATGTTGGAGAAGACGCGGGAAAACTGGAACAGTAATGCATTGCTGGTGGAGTTGTGAACTGATCCAACCATTCTGGAGAGCAGTTTGGAACTATGCCCAAAGGGCTATAAAATTGTTCATCCCCTTTGACCCAGCAATAGCACGTCTAAGGCTATATCCCAAAGAGATCATACAAATGGGAAAAGGACCCACACGTACAAAAATATTCATAGCGGCTCTTTCTGTGGTGACAAAGAATTGGAAATAGAGGGATGCCCATCCATTGGGGAATGGCTGAACAAGTTGTGGTATATGCATGTGATGGAATGCTATTGTGCTCTAAGAGATGATGACCAGGCTGACTTCAGAAAAACCTGGAAAGACTCGTATGAACTGATGCTGAGTGAAGTGAGCACAACGAGAACGTTGTGCACAGTAACAGCCACGTTGTGTGTTGACTAACTGTGATAGACTTAGCCTTTCTCAGCAATGCAAGGGTCTAAGACATCTCCGAAAGTCTCATGATGGAACATGCTACCCACATCCAGAGAAAGCACTATGGAATCAAATGCAGATTGAAGCGTACTGTTTGCTCTTTTTTCCCCCTCGTTTTGTTTCTTCTTTCTTGTTCCTCCTATTGGTTCTAATTCTTCTTTACAACATGACTAATGTGAAAACATGTTTAATAGGAATGTATATGTAGAGCCTGTATCAGATTGCGTGCCATCTTGGGGAGGGAGGCAGGGAGGGAGGGGGAGAAAATTTAAAATTCAAAAGCTTATGGAAGTGATTGTTGAAAACTAGAATAAATTAACTTAAAAAAAAGTTTACACCTCTGAAGTTCTTTGACCCCCTCTAAACACACTACCAGACACCCTGGCCCCAGCCTGCCATTCTAGCCATACTCCCTTTCGTACACTCTAGTCCAATTATTCTTTTTCCCATCTCTGTCCTTTTGCATTGGCCAACTCTCGAGCCTGGAGTATCCATGCTTCCTTCAGAAGCTCAGCCCAAGCACTCCGTTGTACATGAAACTTTTCCTTATTC